GTTCGCTCTAATATATTATAAGAAATGGATCAAAAAGTAATCAAATATAGATTGTGATGAAGTCGACTTGTGAGTATTAAAACAATACTGCATTCCATTGTATGCTCGTATTGATGGAGCTGTCTAGCATGATACGGAAACGTTTATCAACCGAAAGTCTAGCTCGAAAAATAACTTGACAATAATATCCACACCCTGAGCTACAAGTGCCTGCTGACACTTCTGTGCTTTAAAGAAAGCTGCTGGCATAACAGTTTTATCATCACCTATTAGTCTGTATTTCATATGATTACAATGTTGTGGTCACAGTTATTTTCTGTTCAATCTATCCAGGTTGTACTATATTCGTCTTTTGTGCGCTAGAAACAGTACCAAAAAATTTTTTTAATACTTCCAAACGAACTCAATATTACACGCACTATTAAAATCACAAAGAAACTGACCCGCAGAGTTAATTTAATCGAGGAAAAGAAAGAGTCACAAAAATGATTACACACTATAACTGTACAAAAAGATATAAAACTAGTTCTATAAAACAGGTGTTGCACATCAAATTTATAAATAACTAATTCTCAATAAAGACTTTTAACTAGATAGCTTTCAATGGCATAACTCCCATTAAACGTAAACAAGAGGCGAGTACATTTCTTGAAGCCACGAAAATGAATAGACGTATCTGAAAAAGATAATTGGAATGATAACTAGTAAATCCTAAACCAAAAACCTCCTAGATAGAGTAACAAAATAATCAACATAACCTTAGTTTTCAATGACAATGGTAAGATGTTTAAAGAACACCACCAACTGTAAAAGAGAGACAGAAGTTGTGCAATGAAAACCAACGCAACTTGGGGATACGGCAGAAATAAATACACTTGATTATGAGACTAATTTCTTTTGTGCGAGAACTTATCTAGCATAGTTATTACTATTATTATTTGTCCTAGTGGAACACAGAGCATTAGTAGCACGTCGCCATTTCACTCTCTTCTCTGAAGTCTTTTCAACCTGGCTCCACGACGGCCCATAAGCTTTTATTTCTTCCGCACACGACCTCCTCCATGTCACCCTCACCTCGGACGCCCAACTGGCCGTTTCCCATCTGAGTTCCACTCGAGGGCCTGGCCTGGTGCACGATGTCCCAGAATGGTCTTCTCAATGCATGCCCAATCCATCTCGACATTCTTCTGTATATTTGCAGGGAGATAGGTTCTTGGTTGGTTCGTTGTCGGAGTTCCGTGTTGCTTATTCTTTCTGGCCATCTGATCTTCAGTGACGAGCCAGCGTAAGCAGTTTTTGATGTCTGTAGTTTGTTGGAAATGCTTTTCGTGACGCGCCAAGTGTCTCAGCCATTACATAGAAACACTGACTTGACTAACATTAGTGTAGGAAATCCGGAAGTTGTTCACGCTTTATGCTGAGTGTAATAGGTCTCCACACTGACTTTAGATTAATGAAGGAGTGTCTTGCTTTCCCGATCCTGCCGTTGACGTCCTCATCTGTGCCACCACCTGTAGTTGAAACGATGCTATCTAGGTAGGTGTAGGTGAAAGAGGCTACTTCCTTAAGGTTTCTTCTGTTGATGCTGATTGGTGTTTGTTGTTGTCGTCGTCGGGTATCTTCATCACCTCTGTCTTCTCTACGTTCACTTGAAGTCCCGTCTTCCTTCGCTGCCTCGCCTCACCTCTTCTGCTAACTTGTTAGTTTTCACCTGTAGATCTCCGAGTTTGTGCGACATTAGACACAAATCATCATCGGCGAAATCCAAATCTTCTTCTAGGTTCTTTTCATCGGTCTTCTCGCTCCTCACAGTTTCTTCCATGATCTGATCTAGTCGACCACAACGCAATCAGGAAGATCATCAGCGATAGTAAGGGGTAACCTTGTCTTACTCCTGTCTTCACTTCAAAGGCATCACTGAGCTTTCCATTGTGAATCACTTGGTGTGTAGCATCATATAGTTTATAGCTGTTGAATGAGGTTGATAAAGGTTTGTAGTATTCCGTTGTTTTGAAGCAGCTGCCTGAATTGTAATGCAGACAACAACGAGTTAATTCACTTGACGTGGTCATTCACTGCAGTTGATGTTGAATGGTTGGTCGTAGTCGGACGTTCTGTTTCAAGTGAATTTCTTACGTTTCAGTACTCACCAATAAGGTATATCTATACTCTCTTCAAGAACTTAATCAAACACGGTACCACTGAGCTATTCAGGATATTCGGTCAGTATTCGGTAATACACTGATTCCGTGCTTAGGATTAGAAAATATAACATTGGTCGTTACACTGTGGCCTTCCAGTGTAAATGATCCAGTCCTGTAGGAGATCAGCAGAAATGAGAACTAATTACTTACGCGTCTTTGACTTTTGAGTAAAGTAATGAATTTATGAAGAAGTATAAATTCCTTTGTGGAAGAAGACTAATTTAATTAGTTAATTAATTATTTTATTGGTGACTATGACTCAACATCATAAACCATACAAATAAACATAGTTCCATCTTAATTGACCACACTGCAGCCATCCTATTATTTGATCCTATAAATGTTAGCAGAAACATCTACGACACCAGTCCTTAGTGCAGTACCGATAAATGTAACACTGAGTATCGGTTTTTCACCGGTGAGTAGATCAGTAAAGGCTTTATAAATAGATTTCTTCTACCAACCTAAAACTATCTTTCATCACAAACAGAGCCAAGGTTATGACAGAAAAATTAGAATAAACTCATTTATTACTATCCAACCAGATAAATAAAAACACTATGTAACTTAAAATGACCGCAAATCACCCCTCAATTCGAAACACACCTCACATCACCATACGGACAAGGAAATGTATGACAGAAAATATAATAAAAGGAAAATAATGACACTATCAGTCGTATTAAGTGTCAGACAACGATGAAAAAAGATTTTTACAAAAAGCAAAAGGCATCTAACATTACTATGTATATGAGAATTGGGTATGGATAAAAACTGTACCATAGAAGTTGACTTTGTATCAATCTCCAACCAGAAAGCCAACATGGTTAGGCCAACAGTTAGAAACCTAATAGACCAGCGCCACATATTAGTCTGATCACCTCTTAGTTAACTTGGAAGTAGCCTTACCTCGACTTACATGACACAACGATGATAGCTCCGTTGGTGAAAAACATTTTAAAACTACTTCCGCTGATGAAGGTTTACAACCCCACCAACCGACTTACTTTCCTTAGCCACGGCTTTACGCCTAACCTTGACGTTCCTCTCATAGCTGTCACATCAAGCATGCCACAGTGAATGGACAACAGCTGGAGGTTTCTAATATCCTACACACTTTCAATCGTTCTGTTTCTCAGTTATACAGCAGGACCGAGCGAACTGCTGCACCATACACTTGATCATTAGTAGACACTACAATTTATGATTGGGGTATCAACGCACACCAATCCTAAGATAACGCTTTATATTTGTCAGGTGAGAAATACACTACTATCATTCTACATAGTTGTTACTCAGTGTTCAGAAGACTGAATCATGTCAACGTTGGCAAAACTGTGTTGAAGTGGAAAGGAGGGACATTCCTGTCAGATACGTTTCTGTGGAAACATTTCAACTGATATGTTATCATAGGCGCTGACACAACCACAACTATTTGAATGCATAGACTTAGTAAGATTTTATTGTAGGCAAATAGTTCTTTCAGTGACAAATACGATTAGAAGACCTTTCAATCGATGGAATCAGATGTCACAGAATTGACAAATACAATATGTGTGACGTATCGGTAAGTATGTCTATTCTCCAACGTTCAATGAATGGTGAAGATTTGATCAACATACGACCAAATGTAAAACATCCTTAGATTTTCCATATTTACTGCCTCCCCAAGGTGTTTATGTTTACAGAATCTATAGTCTTCGAAACTGTAAATGATCAACACTAATTTAGCCGTGATTGTCCCGAGAAGACTCGCTTCCCTACTTGAAAGTTGAAGTTGAAATAAATCGTATTGTCCGGAACACTTTCAGTTAGGTAGGTAGGTGTGATAACATTCTTTATTGTCAAATAGAATTCACTAAATGAAGTGAATTGTATCAACAGCGAAAATCCAACTTAAGGATTATCTATTCAAAATGGCTGACTAATCTTTCTAACCGAACCATAAGATTAACTCTTAGTATTTAAAAAAAAACATATTCAACTGGAACTGAGTAAACTATCTGATTGAGAACACAGTTACACATAGATCTTACCTGACAACATATTCAAATACATTTAAGTACAGTTTTGGAGTATCTCAAATAATTATCTTAGTGTTCAATTCTTTAACTAAATGTTATTCGATTCAACTGTTAATTTCCTCTCTTTTGGAACACTTGCCACCTACCAACAAGACGCATCATATACATTTAGTCTCAAAGTATCTACGTAAATGGATCGGTACTTCAAACAGAAAAAATGATAGAAGGTAAACGGTCTTGCCAAATGCTACTTATTCTACACATCCTTATGGATAGATACAACCGACAAAATATAACCAAGGTAACTTGAAATCAATAAATCCTTCAAAACCTTCAAAATGAATTACTGTCCGATGCTCAACAGTGACTTGCTTCAAGATGAGATCCCTCGAAGTTCTGGCGAGAAGTCATGACCAGTGGGACGTGAGGATAAATACTCAACGATAGCATTGGATGAAGGTCGAGATATATCGTGAATTAATAAAAGTAGGGAAATATGGACCATTTAACTCCAACCCAATATCTCAAAGGTAACGTGATGGTCATGAAACTTGAAGGTTGCGGGATTGGTTCATGGCAGGGTCATGGGCGTGCAACGCTGAGGAGTACTATACTTAGACAAAACAGCTGCCCAGTGTACCCAGCATTCTAATGGTTCTCTAATCGATCTCAGTCCATGATGAAAAACAACCTTAATCATTTATCTGAGTGTGACTCATCATCGAATATACTAAAAAAAACAGAAGTTGACAATGAAGAAAATATCACTCACCATTTGATCCTCTTTTCTTGAACATGTCAGAACTGGTAAACGTTTCCAAGAGCAATTTACAGCAGAACTAATTTTTTTTTTAAATGAGATTCGAATGAAGAGGAAAAGGAATAAAATGTCACTTAAACACGAATTAAAAACAGACTATACACATAATGTTTAAATCATAAATCATAAGACAACTGACTGAATGTCAGTCGTTTCTGTAGAATTAAGTAAACAAACACGGACAATGTGAAGCATAAAGAAATTGATTGAAGTCAATATATCTTAAAACAACTCCGTGTTTAGAGATCAAAAATGATAGCGGAAGCGAAGTGAAAACAGAAGAAATTATGTGGATCAAACCAACAGTCAATGCAACCAGACATACTTCTGTGAACCTTTATTATGATTATGACAATGTTTCATTTATTCTTCTACTTATATTGATAACTTCTGACTCAATGTATTGGAAATGACTGTATTCATGCATATTTAACACGGGTACTAAGCATTTTAATCGATGAAAGCTCAAAACAGTATCAACTAATTTACCACACCTCCTTAGTTCCATACACCTAACAACAACATCATTGACTCAGAGTGACAAGCAAAATCAACTGCATCAGTTGAAGTTGCCACACATCAAAGTACTATACAAACAACAAGTGAACAGAAAGGACTTATATCAAGATGGAAAAAGCTGTATGACAGGAGAGTGAATTTACAGATTACGATTAGTCAAAGCATTCAACATTTTGAGGGTGATGTGTTCTCTGACCTGGATGGTTTAATCGTGGAGCTTTCATTATCATTCTAGACAACATCATCAGCACAAACTTCAGAAAGAAGTCAGCTATTGGGTTCTCTCCATAGTTTATTTAGTAAATTGTCCTGATGGTCTTGTGTTTGATTGGTTGTTTCGGCCAAGGTCTTGTTATTATCTTTATATTTATTTGAATTGGTCGTCCTGATGACCTGAAATTTCACCTTTTTGTTGTTTCTTATTGGTTGATAGATTGGATGAATTTCAATATGTTTGTTGATCACTGACTGATATGAACGCCAAGCTTCTAAAAACTCTCTGGCATTCTTTGTATTCCCTCTAGCCAAGACTGTCACATTTCCCCAGTCAAATTCATGTCTCAAGTTTTCCGTACGCCTCAATGTGAGCGAAGTTATGTCATCACGCTTCACTGCTAGTTGGTGTTCATGTAGACGCATACTACTCTGTTGGATGAAGTATTTTTCGCAGTTTGTACGGTTTATTTAGTAATATTTGGTTTGTCTCCCTTTGCTTTTGTATCGTTTGGCCCGCATAACAAGGAATGAAGGGATTTTGTGGGCTTGTAAAATACAATGATTACAAAAGGCTTTAATAATCTAGTTATGGTCTCTGAGACACACATCATGTAGAGTAAAGGCGATCCCCTCCCCCTGTAGGTTTTCGAGGTTGACTTCTTGATTGACAACCAACTATGCTGACATATTTTGATGAAGTTGCGTGGATAGCCGTTCTTTTGATAAACTGTTATTAAAAGGTTGTCTGATTTTCTCTGAAAGGTCGCAGCACTACAGTGCTTCTTCGTTCTTTTGAAAAATGTTTTTATACAACTGATTTTGTGTGCAGTTGAGTTGCTGCTAGTGTAGTTGAGGATTCGATCCGTACAAGTTGGTTTTCTGTATACTTCAGTTTCCAGTTTCTTCGAATCCGTTCTAGTGATCACTTTCAGGAACCCCAACATACAATATTTTCAAAGAAATCTTCAGAAAACTAAAACATCTGGTAGAGTCATACAAGCTACGAATATTCCCCATCATCTCATTAAAGCTATAGAAGGCGTCAAAGAGTAAACACATCTGCGCCATCGTGACCGATTTTCAGCGACGTCACCAACAGTCCTTATCTACTGACTACTCTCGTTTCGATGACCCGAGCAGGCAGCATACACTTCCCAACACGGCTAAGACCAACAGTCACAGACTTCATGAACTGCAGACACATTTTGATCTGACCATCCTGAACCATCTTCCAACCTAATCAATGTTCCCCTAGGATAGCACATCGAGGTAGGTGGTGGGTCGGCATCTGCAACACATAACCCGACCACCGCAGCCGACTACGGTTCAGAACCTCACAAACCGACTACTCCCGTCTTGTCTAGTACCCTTCGTCTGACATCGAAATTACTCACGCAGTGATCCCACCTAACACGAGTAATGCTATGAAGACCCCTGTGATCAAAACCCTGTAACTGTTTTACGTCTTCAACTTTCAAGAGCCATGTCTCACAGTCGTAAAACAGAACAGAACGAACTGCAGAGCAGTACATTCGTCCTTTGATAGATAATTGATAGAAACTATCTCGCCAGTTGGGGCTACCGACGACCCAAGTTGGAGAATGCCGAAGTGGCCCTCAGTATCTAATCTGACATTTCACCAGCAAACAGCCCGTTTGGGCTGATGCAACTACTCAAGTAAGTGAAGAATTTGAAACGTTTCACCACTTCACTACCTATCATCATCATTTACTCGATAAATCTACAGCAAGCAAGTGATACTAAGAAGGAACCAATGAAAAAATATTTTCAGTCTTTGCTTACCCTTTAAACTTATTGTATATGTTTTATGGTTATGAGCTCTGATGGGGGGTACTGCTACACAATACACTCAACTCTTAATAGGTGTATGCGCAGGTGATGAGACTGAATTTTCAGTTGCTTAGCTGCAATGATGCTGGGTGTTGATTGTAGGTGAAATAAAAATTTGGGTCGCAGTAGGATTCGAACCAGTAACCATCGAATCTGCAACCTGCTGCTCTACCAACTGAGCAACGAGATCTGAGTGTTGACCAGAGTTTTATATCATTCTAATCAATGAGAGTTTTGCCCCATTACCATGTGAATTCGGGACACATTACTGTAGCTCGATTGTACTCACACTAGTTTCCTAGTCACGACTTAGACGTAATAAATAATTAAATACCTAGATTAATAAGCTAAAAGTACACAAACTAGATGTTCTATATTTTTCTACATTGTCCATCTCTATTCAACATTATCCTATGTGCGCTGCTTTAAGATACGCTTTCTTTCTCTTTTGTCTCAAAGATTGATCTCATCACCATAGATTTCATTCAGTCGGTTTACCTCAATAAACGACATAGTTTTCATAAAGTAATCATCTTGACAGAATGTACACTTTTCTGAACACTGATCGATGATATTAAGATAGTTTTGATGGTTGCCATCTTTCATGTTTAATTTTTTGCTTCAAAATTTACTCTTTACAAATACTGTACTCGAAATTATGACCTATTTATAACGTCACCGTAGCAACTGTCGAAATAACCAGTCACATTTCAGTATTTCATTTAGGAAAGTAGTTTTACATCAAATAAAGAAACGTAATTGTTTATTTTAGCAGTTGTTAAGGTAGCCTTTAAAGTTACCCGAAATTAAATAGAGTGTGTTGATCAGTTCACTTACATTCAGAGCTTTTGTAACCACTGAGACTTGGCCAGTAAAGTATCGATATGAATACAAATAACTCGTCTGGTGTTTCACTGACTTATATCAAAGCGCCGATGAAATATCTGTACACCTATTAAGAGTCGAGTGTATTGTGTAGCAGTACCCCCATCAGGGCTCATAACCATAAAACATGTACAATAAGTTTAAAGGGTAAGCGAAGACTGAAAATAATTCTTAATTGATGCTACTTGTCCTAAAAACTGTTAACTACAAATTAATAGAGTATACATACCTACAAACTAGGGAAGTGAAGTGTGTTCCTTTGGCATATTTCAGCGACAGAAACAAGCTCCATGTGACCTTCTGAGTAGATTGCCTATTTGAGTCTCAGGCAATGAATTTACCATGAGATACTATGGAGTTTCGAATACTACGCAAACCATTTTTTTACACTTTGAATAAATTATATGTCACAGCAGACTGCTTGGACCATGTCCAATAGAATTTTAAGTAAAACTTAATCCACAAAGTTTTTCAATACGATGCCTCTAAATGATACTGAAATGTCTGCAAAAGATGAACTCTTGTTACCATAGTAACACGCGGCAAACTGAAAAAATGTTTGAGGTAATTAATAACTACGTACATCACTATATAAAAGAAGCAATAACGATAGTTTGTAGTATTCTCTAAAAGATTAAAGGAAATACCAAATTTTTCACTCAATAAAATTCAATTCTATAAAGAAGGAAAACAATGTAGAAAGGTGTACTTACGCAAGTTCCAAAGCATACTGAAGTATACAATGAGGTTCATAGTTTGAATAGGCAGTCTGGAGTACCGACGAAAACCTAAAAGTAGGTCGAATGATACAAATAAAGACACTTTGAATAAGAGAGAAATCAGAATATGAAGGATAAATGCACTTTGCTTGAATACATCAGTGAAAAAAAAAACAATTAAGGAAATAACTCCTGTCTTCGGGTGACGAAAACATATAATTCATTCTGTGGTGTTCTTAGATCACGTTTTGGCTTTTAAGGATCACTGACAACTTCGTAGTGAACTCAGCAAGAGATCGGAAAATGGGCTATTACACTATGTGGTGATTACTCAAATGAAAAGGTTGACGTGCTTATTAATTAATCTTAACACTGATGGACAATGTGAGTCGTCATAGATGGTAAGTTGGAAGAATACCAAGGGTGGTTAGACCATAAACACCTCAACAGTCTATGAGGCTATAGACTGTCAGCAAGGATTCTGTAGGCAAGTGCTACGAACTGATATTAATTGGAGAATAGCTGCAAACCCAGGAAGCACTGGACAAGCGATTCGACTTAGCTTAAAACTCATTAGCAAATCACTTTTCAACATCTTTCTAATTGAATTAACTTCACAACTCTACGGTACTAGTTTGAATCGAAGCACTTTCATGTGAATTATTAGCCTGGCATATCGTGTCAACGTACAACTTAAGTGGCTTCAAGGTCCAAGATCCATAAACTGCAGGCCACAAACGTTGCCGATTGCCAATAGTTATAAAAAAGCAGCTTTTAACTTTTGTGGACTATATTAACGATTATAACACCCAACCTGAAAAATAAAAGAACAGTTTCCGAAGACCTGTTTGCAGAAACCTTTAATTAAACCATCTACAAATAGTAGTTAGACTTAGATACTATATGAAATGAAAGAGTATCCGTTATCATGTGTTCTCATAAGACACAATCATAAATCAATCCATTTTATAGGACAGAACATGAATCTTGATGTATCAATCACATAGAAATTAGTTTGGTTAGCTGGGGGAAATTGCCAAGAGGCGCTGAACCTAGGTTTCACACCTTCTGGTACCCATCAACAGTCCTACAAGAGATCAGTAGCGACCTGAACAGCTCAGTGGTGACCCCACTGACTATAGCACTGAGTGATGCTGATTTGGATCTCAGGCACGACATCAATTCCGTAGAGGTTGCAGATATGCCTTGCTGATAAGTGTCAAAAAGCACGAAACTTAAGTCTACGGCTTCCTGCCTCCATCCAACTGACATCTATCAAAGTCCATAACAATACTGAGTCGTCTAGCCTGCTGATTACATTGCAAAAATGATCGACAGAATTCGACCAGGACTTATGACAATACAAAATCAAGTTGATTACCCTCTAATGACCAATGAATGTAGAAGTTAGTTTATTTGACTTTGTAGAATTCATTGTAATACTGAAACCTAGTGGAGCAGAAGATGTAACCACTAAGTTGTACGGTATGAACATAAATATCGGTATTCGATTCTGGCGATCTAAATTTATTCCACTGCATTTAACTGCAAAGAGAAATTTTTCACTAAATAGGTAACAGAAGTAGTTTACACGATAGCTCCAAAAACGTTTACTACTTTCAGATTACTTGTTAGTAAATGCAGGATATACGGGGGTTATAACATAATAGCCACTGGTCTCGACTTTGAAGCATATGTCACTATCATCAAGATCAACATAGAACCAGGCATTACTGTGTACCGGTCCAAATTGTCACACCGTATATCAGCACATCAAGTAACAAGGTAATAAAATGGAAGATGAAGAAACAAAGGAAGTGAAACAGAAAGCAATAAGAGAGAGGAAGGAGGAAGGAGGAAATACTGAATTCAGTATAGTGGTAAGATGAGGTTTTGAGCCATATAACCGAGAGTCACCAACCACTGGTTTCTCTTGTCCCGCGGACCCCAACCGACTAGTCTGCATCGCCCCACATGGCTCAAACCAAAGACTTCATGCATTCATGCTATGTTTTAGTCTGGTCACCTCGAGCCTTTTTCTTGCCTGAACCTACTTCGGCCAACATTGTGCGACGAGACAGACGGTGGTTAGGCATTTGTAACACACGTCCCAGCCATCTCCGTCGATGAAGGTTCACAACCACATCGACTGACTTTCCTCTCCTCCCTAAAACTCTACGCCTGACTTCTGAGTTGCTCACGTGGAGACACTACGATACACAACCTATGTTAAGAATACAACGGTGGTCAAACACCTGAAGACTTTTCATGTCCTCTACATTTAATGGCTATGTTTCATAGTCATATAGTAGCAAAAAGCAGACTGAAAGGCAGTGCACTCGACTCAGTAGGCAATGAGATATCGAGACAGTGCCACAGATAGCGTAAGTTGGCGAAAGTCAATCGAGACTTTTTTTATACCACCAGAGATTTCGTCGGCCACTGATCCACTACGGCTGATCGGACTTCGCAGATGAGTGAGGTGGTCGACGCACTCAACCGCTTTACTCTACTGTTAGCTGGGGCACCGTTGAAGACCGGTTTTGGAGCAGCAATTTGCACTTAGATGGTGAGAAACGCATCTTGAACATTCTCGAATTGCCACTCAAGATATTTAGAAGACCCTGCAGCATAACAGAATTTTCACCTAAGAGAAACATATCATCTGCGTACTCTAGATCAACCGGAAATTCTCCCGTGATCAGGTCGGATGATGAGAGGCAGATCTCTATAAGTAGGTCCATGATGAAATTTAATAAGAATGAAGAGAGTAGGCATTGTTGACGGACACCACTCGACGCACACAGCTCACCCAACATCTCACCATAACACGCCTATCGGTGTTCGTGTAAAGAACCTTCATTAGGGTGATGTACGTGCTCGGCACACCTTTCTATGAGAGATATTGACATAAGACTTCTCGATCGACGGAGTCAAATACCGCATTCAGGTCAAGAAATGCAGCTAATGTCGGTGAGCGTGGCTGTGTTCCAGAACCCGGTGCAGTGTGAATATTTGGGTGATACACCCACGACCAGGTTTGAAGCCTGCCTGGTTTTCTCAGGCTTGCTGTTCTCGAGCTTCACTTAGGTGCCTAATGATTATAGAACCTAGAATCTTAAACTCTATGTTCGTCAGGCTGATTCCTCTGTGGATATCACAAAAGGACTTCTCGCATTTCTTGAAGTCTGGGATAATCAGTGATTTAGACCAGTCAAAGAGGATCATATTTAGCTTCAACACACTAGCCAACACTTCAGCTGACCAAAAAACACTCTACTACTGTCCTTATATTCCGTCTGATCCTGCTGCTCTTCCTTGTTTCAAGTTACCTACCGATTTATCGACTTCTGTAAGTGCTGGGGGCCTATCTCAATGTTCCGTTCACCATCCAACTGGATAGCGGGTAACGCAATAGTAGCTGGAGACCAGTTGAACTGTTCCTCGAAATATTCTGACCATGTCCCAGTCGTCTGCTCTGTGAGTGAATCGCAGATCTACCCTTCTCCTCTATAGTCTCACTAACCATTGACCTTTTCGCCCCAGTTTCCTAATAAGCTTAAATAATTATCTACTGCTACTTATCACCGCTGCCTTTTCCATCTCTTTAGCCTTCGCTAACCACCACAGTTCGCAGTCATTGCGTAGACTTTTTGCCAGTCTACATTTGAGTTGCGTCCGGTCATCATTGTATTCAGAGCCTGCAGGGATGAGTTGGGGTGCATTCATTAAATCAGGAGAATCGGCTGGTATCCACTGGCTTGTTTTAACCACTCTGAGATTTGGCTACGGTCTTCGACGCTGTTCCTACAAAAGACTGAAGATGGCATTACGCTTCTTCTGGGTGAGAGATAGTGTTCTGTTTCGATAACTGAAGCAAATGTTGTGACGTCTGAGTCATATGATTACTTGGATCTACATGGAGAGTCTTGGTGTGCCAAGAGATGCCAATATAAGAGTAAACTTAGTTGGTGTATCAGATGTATCACAGTCAACAATACTACGTGATAAATTTAATAAATCATCTGAAGTGGAAGAGATACCAACCGGAAACCTTTCGTTCCGAAGTACTTCATAATAAGCCAGCTACCCCTCTACTTCTTCCCGTAGCCTGCAAACCGCTGGAACGGCATTCGAAGCATCTTCTCAAAGGACTGAAGTCAATGTTTGGAAATAAACGCTTATTGAATGACGAACTGTACCACACTTAAACACATGCTACTGAGTCTCGGAACTACTTATAAATGAATCATATTACGGAGACAATGATGATAAAACATGTAGATTCACTGGAGATCCTCAGATTCAAAAAGTTGAGTTCTGCAGGTATATAGTAGATAAGTCACTATTTTAAATAGCAGCATGCATGTTTGTGAGATACTACTCAGGCAGCCTGATCTCAAAGTGGTGGTTTTGAGAAATTACACACTGACCCCTTAAATTGAAAACTAACTAATTCGCCAAACGGAACAGAAACTTTATTTCATATTTGCCAGTGATTAAATCAGATTTGTTCGCCATTCATCCCTTTTGGATACTAGAATCGGTATCCACTATTGGTCAAGAATCAGGGTTTTCTAACCACCCTAGATGGATCTTTCAGTGTTCACTGATTTGTGATAAGTGCAGGATAAGCCCTTGCGACTTTTCACTTTTGTGGGAGTTTTCGCCTTGAGAAGGCAACGAATGAGAACTTCCTTGGTGGAGGTGATGAATACAGAATTGTCACGAAGAACGTGCTCCATCCATCCTGGACCATATCAAGAGATTTAGACAGAGGAAAGTGACATCCATTAGTCAGAAGACACTGGGAATACACTGTTGACTGAAAGAGGAGCCTAACAGGCATATTAAGCTAATATGAACCCTTGATTGAAACACTTTGGCTTAAGTTTATGACAGACTTTCTTTAGTGACTGGATTAGGTAGTGTCATCAATGATGTCCACTGTCGTCACTTGTACTGACTATCAGCACAGAAGTGTTTCTGACTGAAACCATCTGTTCTATGCTACATCATGAGTCGACAGAAACTACAATTCATCTAGTTACCTGTTCACTATGGATGTACTTACCACCACCTTCCATACAGTTCAGCACCAAAAAAGCTAATGACAACAAAGGAGCTATCTATTGCATGATAAAATGGTAACCTTAAGGCATGTGTTAAAGTGAATGAATCAATTTCCTCAGATAATGCAACAGCGTCAGCACCACCAAACAAAGAAAGAAGTGATAAAAACTAACCTGCACAACTCATTGGCTAGTGTTATAAAACATTGTTCATTCACAGTTTCTGGAGGCCATTGTACTAGCTGATCATATTCATGTATGAGGCAACCAACATCGTAAGCAGTTACACCTTGGTCTGTGCAAACACTTGATGGAAGTAAACCAGCTGAAATCATACGAGATTCAAGGCTATGACAAAAAAGAAAACATATGACAGAAACAAGACAAAAGAGATAAAATCAAGCAGTTGATTAAGTGGACAATAAAAGCCAGGATGACAAACAGTCGACAGAATTCGGCCGTTATAATCATTGGTATAAGATGATGACTAAGTGTGAAATGAAAACCGAGGTCACGGCAGGATTCGAAACAGTAAACTCCAGATACCATCCAGTTTACAGTGGTAAGAGATTTCATAAAATAGAGCATAAAAAGATGTCACAAATCAAATTATTTATAAACTCATTTTCTTCTTCTGTTCCTCATAGAGTCATGACTCCATATGCTTTTTATTGAGAATAGAACTAAACTGGAAGAGATAGGTTCATAGTATCCAGATCAAGATATACTACTAATTGATGAAACCCTGGACAGATGGTTCAAACAGTATAGAGAAATAAGAGCTTCATAGTTGAGTTCAGTGAAATAACCAGCATAAATAGTTGAATACTTTAGATGATTTGGAATATAACCGACCACAGTGAACCAGATATGTTCAAACTTTGTCTTAATTTAAATCAAAACAGTATACATCCTGGTAAACTTCATTTTCCTGTCTTCGTCTTCCGACTTACTACCACTTCTGATAGTGTTAGGCTCGTTTTCTTCTCTTCCATTAGAGTCCTCATTTCGATGTCTTGATGTGGTGTGGTGACATAAACTGCCACACAGTTATGCAGAGTCTTATGTTATTTTTACCTACCTCCTGTAACTCCGTGCGAGTTGTGACACTGCAGTGGTGATCAACTTGAAGCGGATGGCTTTCTTGAAGATGATGTTAGACCTTCCACCTAGATTCAAACCAAGTTGGCATTCATCACAGACTAATTTCAGTTGGAGAACCATTGCAAAACCTGGAAGTGCTTAACAGCTGTTCCTTCCTAGTATGAAAACTTCCTGCATTGGGCACCCGTGACCTCGCCAGGGACCTAACCAACAGCCTTCAGGTTTCGTGGATAGCACGTTATCAGTAAGCCACTGGGTCGAAATCTAATGGTCCATATTTTCCTACTTCTACTAATTCGGGTATTTGTTCTCAAGCCCAACTTGGCTTGTCTTAAAGGCCTAGACTTCTTATTAGGATTTCAAAGAATCTTATCTTGAAGCATTGGATGAATACTGTGCTATATTGCGCATCGACGGAAGTAGGAAAATGTGAACCATTGGATTCCGCGGCTCAATAGCAATGTGCTCGCCGTGAAAATCGGAAGTAATAGGTTAGACCCCTGGTGAGGTCATGAGCAGATAGTGCTGAAAAGTCACACCAGGGCGAAACGGCCAACCGATGATCAGTGTCTTTCAACGTTTCTTCAAATGATGCCAGTCAGTAATAGATACCAACATGAAATCAATAAATCCTCATAAGCCTCCATGTGGCGGACCAGTGTCAGGAATTACAACCACAAAGTAGCAGATAATCTTGTTGTTCATTTCTGCAGGATCCGAGGACCCATACGGACCACGGATTCAGAAACCGCGTTTCTTAACTTTGCTTGGCAGACCCTTAGCATTCACAAACCAAACGATAAGCATGACTAAGTGAGAATCGATAAAACGCCTTATCAGTTGCTGGCTGCAAACAAATAAAAATTGAACAAATCGTATAGATTGTCGATCAACCTCGCCTGGTTAACTAGCTCGCTAGTTTACTTGCCGGTCCTGAGCACGGATAAAGAGGGAAGCTACCAACCCTACCCCTGAAAATCAATCCAGTCGCTAAACGAACTTCAAAGCACAAAGAAATTATAAAAAAATAAAAACAAGCTTAATCCTCGCTGGAATCGGAGACGAAATAACGCCGATTGGTGAAAGCCTTCAGGAAGCCAGTCGGCCGATGTCTTCTCTTGATGAAAGCGAAAGTAAAAATGGGGACATGGAATGTCCGCACCAGATATGAACCTAGCAAGGCTGCCCCGATTGCAAAAGAGATGAAGAGGTATGGCATGAAAGTGCTTGGAATCTGCGAAGGCAGATGGAATGGAACTGGACTCTCCCAACCGTCAACTGGAGAGTCAATAATCTACTCCAATATTGTCACCCACACGACAACCATGAGCAAACTGAGAACATCGAAGGCTCTCACGCAGTGGGAACCAGTCTCCACCTCCACGATCATGACAGCAAGGTTCCACTCAAAAGGAAGGAAGGTCACAATCATACAATGCCGATACTATGCACCCACAAATAATGCAGATGAAGAGAAGGAGAATTTCTACAGACAACTGCAATCAACACTCCACAAAACCTCAGTTGGCGACATCAAAATTCTAATGGGTCGGGTGACATGAATGCCAGACAAGGAGCGGACAACACACAAAGAGAACTAATCATGGGTCGAGAAGCGCTCAGTGAAATGAACGAGAATGGAGAACCGTTTGCAGAATTCTGAGCATTCAACGATTCGATGATTGGAGGCAGTATGTTCAAGCACAAGGATATCCACAAAGCGACATGGGTTTCGCCAGATGGACACACCACACTGAAAATCAGATCGACTTCATCTTAATCTCAAGAAAGTGGAGACGCAGCCTACAGAACACAAGATCAGATCAAGAAGGGGAGTAGATGTAGGTTCACACCACTCACTATCTAGTGCAGGGAACCTTTCCAATCAAGTTGAAAGCCTTCAAATAAGCTGGTGATAGACCACATAGGATCTAGAGGGCGCTAAATAGTTGCCCCAACCTCAGTAGGCGGAGGAGGTTTCAGTTCCATAGCTTACTGGCTGGAAGAGAAACAAAGGAAACAGTGGGCTGACCACTTCAAAAAACTCTCGAATCGACCACCACCACCACCTGCAACTCGTCCAGAAACATTACCAGTAACGGCAGAACTACCAGTGAACACAAGGCCTTCGAAAAAAGAGGAAGTGAAGTCCTAAACCCTATAAAGCTGCTAAAATTTGGGAAAGAGGCAGGACCACATGGAACCCTGCCAGAAGCACTGAAAACATGTAGAGACAACAGCAGACATGCTCACACCACAACTGCAGAAGGTTTGAAAGGAAGGAAGCAAAGGTACCTGCTGATTGATTAGAAGAAGGGGTACCTTGTCAAACTCCTAAAGAAGAGAGATTTAAGTCTTTACGAGAACTGACACGAAATCATGCTCCTGTCCACCTCAACCAAAATACTATGCTGCATCATCCTGCAGAGAATAAAGGATCCTCTCGATTCAAAATTACAACCGGAACAGGCTGCTGGCTGGCTGGCTGGCTGGCTGGCTGGCTGGCTGGCTGGCTGGCTGGCTGGCTGGCTGGCTGGCTGGCTGGCTGGCTGGCTGGCTGGCTGGCTGGCTGGCTGGCTGGCTGGCTGGCTGGCTGGCTGGCTGGCTGGTTGGCTGGTTTCAGGAACAACAAATCATGAGCGGACCAAATTGCAACACTACGCTACCCAGCATCATAGAACAGAGTATAGAATCACAGTCAACTCCCTACCTCAACTTCATCGACTTTGAAAAGGCTTTCGACAGCATCGATCGAGAAGTTATTTGGCAGGCAACTGCTCCAACACTACGGTCTTAATACTACAAACCTTTATCAACCTCATTCAACAACTATATACTATATGATGCTACACACCAAGTGATTCACAATGGAAAGCTCAGTGATGCCTGTGAAGTGAAGACATGAGTAAGACAAGGCTACTATTATCACCCATCATCTTCTTGATTGTGATAAACTGCACTGGACTGGATTGTGCAACAAACTGTTAGGAGCGGGAAGATGGACATACGCTGGCTGCACCGATGAAAAGAGCCTAAAAGAATATTTGGATTTCGTCAATGATGATTTATGTTTCCTTTAGTTTCCTTTAATCCTCATTTATTTATTAACTGCTTCAACTCTCAATCTTTTTCTGACCACTTTCTGTTTCAACGCTGTTGATATGTGCATCTCTATGCAAGATTCTACTGTGATTTTTCTGTTTATCGACAAGTCGTGTACAACTGAGAAGATAATCCTGGACACAAGAGTATATAATAATATATTAGAGCGAAAGATTTATAAGACAAACAATTTCGTGATATTATTATTTTATGTCAATTGAAGGGAGGCAATCGGCAGGAAACCCTGAACTTAGGTTCCGTGCCTTTTGGCATTCGTCAGCAAGGGGTATCTGCAACCTCAATGGGTCCGATTTCACGCCTGTGATTTCAAAACGTGTCGTCTAGTGTTGCAGAAATGTTACCACTAAGCTATTCGGGCCATAACTGACCTCCAGTAGGTCCAAGGCTTCCTGCTGACAAACATCCATCGAAGTGCATAGCAATAGTGAGCCAAACTGCAAAGTGATCCATAGGATTCGATCAGCACTTGGGACAAGATTATATGAAGTTGGTTACCCTCCAATAATCAATCAGTTATTAACTATTAATCTGACAAAATGAAGAGTGTAAGCTACGTGACTGATGTTCAAAAAACGAAAGGAAATGCTTGGCTGTAATGAATATTATGTAAAAAGTCACCAGTAATGTTTAGGCTCATGCATTACACTATGAACTGTACACATAGAATTTAGGCGGTGCTAAATAGTTGCCCCAACCTCAGCAGGCGGAGGAGGTTTCAGTTCTATAGCTTACTGGCTGGAAGTCAAATGTCTAGAGAGTCACAGTGTCACATTTGGTTGCTATCATTATGCGGAATTAATCAAAACGTATCACAGAGTTATAGTTGTATCCAACTGAAGTCTTAAATTCAATCGTGAATGTCCCACCGATTAATCAGTCAGTCATTGTACCGATAACTTAATTACAACAAATAATTATAACTGTATACCTGCATAATCTTGCATGACAGTACTGCAAAGTCAGTCCACATAATTCTCCACCCTTTGATGACGTTGTCGATAAGGGAATATTCGCTGTTGTAACTGGTAAACCAAGAAATGTATTCAGTTTGATCGGTCTTAGACGTGGATTACCAAACATTGTCGTTACTAGGCATGTTACACCTAGATGATCAGCTATGTCTTCTTGGCTTAGTGACGCACAATCAGCAGATTCGTTTTGAATCACCCGTGTATCTAAAATTAACAATAACGGCTCATGACTAGGTGGTTCAGTTTTTATCATTGTTATCGTGGATAAGAACATTGCTTCCACGATTACACACTGCATACTATCTTATCTTTCGAAAGGTATTCAAACTCGTCTTCTACACATAACAGAAGCTGTGGGAATTCGAACTAATAATCCTAGCTTTTGTTGCCAGAAGAAATTCGCACATCCCTTGACCACGGAAGACTTAGTTAGTAACTTTATCATTCTTTTTTTCTACCCTTTTTCTTATTCTTCATCCCTTTCGTATAATTACTGTATTCCTCTAGGCTTTGTTTATCCACTTACCTCGCCCTTCACTATTACGTAACTTTTATTTTCAGAAGCTTTTGACCCATTTTGATTATCGGAGTGTCTACATTTTCATGCTGCCATCTTAGTTCTTGTCATCATTATCATCTATATTGCACGTGCTTTAGTCAACGTTATATATCAAAAGAAAAAGGAAGGCTATATACATACACTGTGCAAAAATTGTATACATTTACCAAGGTAAAGAAAGTTTAATTACAGTCTCCTTCTGAGTACATAGGTTAGGTTGAAAATGTTTGATAGCGAAAGCTTCCATAAACCGTAATAAACATGGTGTTCTTTGTCTGTTGATTATCCTGAAAGATTGAGAGACATCTATTTGATGTCCTGTTTCCATCAGATGTCTGGCAGTTGCGCTTTAAAGACCTTGCTACTATTCAGACACAGGTTTGTCGGAATATGCTCATAAAATTGAGTAGACACCCTTCTTTCAGTTCGTCCTATGTACTTGCTTCCACAAGAGCAGATAAATAGATATACGCAGTTGGAGGTGATGTGAGGTGGGTATTTGTCTACTTTAGACTGTGTTATTGAGCATAATGTATTGTAAACTGAAATTAGTCTGGCAGCAGGGAAGTTCCTTCTCAGTGCAGCTTTTATTCTTCTATCTATTCTTTTGGGTGTCTCATCACCTTTGAATGCTAGGCGTAGGAAGACAGGCTTCTCAACAGTTGGATGTTTTGGCCTCCCAATCAGTTCTTTTCCATGCATCATGATGAATTTCTTCGGGTATCCATTCTCTATAAGAGTCTTCTCAATTATCTCGAATTCTTCTTGTTTATCTTTAGAGCACAGAGTTTTTATTCTAGTGAATAGCGTCCTGACTAAACCACGCTTATAGCTGACAAGACAGATGCTATTGTAGTGAAGGTACTGACCAATCCACATGTTTTTCCTGTGGATAGTTTTCTCAACTGCTCCGTCACATCTCCGTCTTATGAGCATATTCCGACAAACCTGTGTCTGAATAGTAGCAAGGTCTTTAAAAGCGCAACTGCCAGACATCTGATGGAAACGGGACATCAAATAGATGTCTCTCAATCTTTCAGGATAATCAACAGACAAAGAACACCATGTTTATTACGGTTTATGGAAGCTTTCGCTATCAAACATTTTCAACCTAACCTATGTACTCAGAAGGAGACTGTAATTAAACTTTCTTTACCTTGGTAAATGTATACAATTTTTTGCACAATGTATGTATATAGCCTTGCCTTTTCTTTTGATTGCATCATCTCTTCATTAATTATTTACTGAATATTAATCACTTTACGATTTTCAAGTTTTTCATGTAATTACGTAACCTATTAGCCTTCAAACAATCCCTCCCTTTGCACTGATTTTCGTTTTTTGCCCCCCCCCCACTCCACAGCTCCAGAATTTTCTATCTGATCAGATATAAATAGTCATAGATTTTGATTGGGATATGTAATTATTAATCCTGTGTTTCCTCGACTTACCATATTGTTAATCCTGGATTTCAAATCTCCATTTATTTCTGCGTGTTTAAAGTAGGTTATATTATTATTACTACTAATAGCTCATTTCAATTGTAGGCTGTTTGCAGCTGATGCAAAGCCATGAAATAGAATGAGCTCATTTTATTCAGCAAATGTCTTCGTTCTTGCATTGTACGACATATACTGAAATTATTTTAGCATTGAGTTATGTTAAAGGTCCTCGAAATGAGTATGTGAAGTGCAGCGTATAGCTCAACAAAACAAAAGGCAATTGCGAATTTTATCAATGAACTACGATTTTATACGTGACCAATTTGACGATAGTTGTACAACCTAATGAGGAAGTTATGAGAAACACTAGATCCTTTGAATACCTTACTTTGATTAAAACAAATAAACAGGCAAACAATTCAACTTACTCTTTGATAACTTCATTCTATTGAGCATAAATTGTTGAGCATTATCTAGAATATTAGATAGAAATAATCCTTCACCTTTTCTACTACTCATACCCAATATACGACCAAATGGTACATGCAGAAGATCACGTGCAGACTGACTACCATAGTCAACAAAATTATCATTTTTCACTGACCTATTCAAAGTAAAGTGAAATTTGTTTTCATTCATAAAAATATTTTCATCCAAATTCTCTAGTACCATCTTATAAACATGTGTTGGGAATATATTGGAATATGAGGACTGAAAACTAAGCAGATGCCATGACTTGTCCAATGAAAAGTTTGTTTTTCTTAACACCCTGGGATTATATTTAATAAGTTCATATCTACTTTATTACTAACATTCAGCATGTTGAAAGTAGGTGGTTAAAATACTCATCACAGTTTCAATATTATTTTAGATGCTAATGTACATAATATTACAAATTCGAAGGTAGTCCTTGGGAAGCTTGCTGATGCTTATTAGCAAAGTGTATGTGTGAAAGTTTGAAACTCTTAATTGATCGAAAGATCTGTACTCGCATCTTTTCCATCGAAAATCGGGAATATCATATCAAGGAACTGAAACAATTACTGATTGCTTCAAATTTTACCATGACAACACTACCTGATAGGTTTTACTGACCTCTCCCTGTTAGTATGTTGGTTTCTTGTTCAACACCAAGCCCTGGACATTTTTTTACTGATCAGCTGGTTGAAGTTACAACAATATCTAACACACAAATGCAAAAGTATGGTATACGTTCGATATACTGTAAGGAAGGGAACGAGACATCCCATACCTCCTGTGTAAAAATGCGAATTGGTAATTCAGTTTCCGAGGCCTGACTAATTTGAATTCTAGATTATACACATTTACACTGCCTGCACCTCCAGACACATAAGCTGCAGGTACTTGAAAATAAGTTTACAAACACGTTAGTTCGTCGGTTGAAGGTAATCGCCAATAAAACCCGAGCCTAGGTTTTCTGACTGACTATACTCGTCAACAATGCCTAACTCGAACCTTAAGAGAATTCATGTCCCCCACGAGATATGAAACGACGATGCTCAGCGCTCCAGTTAAACACCTCACCAATGAGCGATTCAAATATGAACCTAAAGTTCAGAGCATACTGTCGATTAACTCTAATCAACTAACAAGAATCAAGGTATACCGTAATACTGAATTTTCTAGTTAAGGAGTATATTAACTTATGAAAAACATCACTGATCTATATTTGCATTGTAGAGGGTAAAATATCACTGTAGAAGAAACCTAGTTCAAATAGTACTGTCATTAAAGTAGACAAAATTTGACCAGCGTTTGAATGACGCCTTTAATTAGTTGTACTTACTGGACCTGTATACTATTATCTGTGCATTTTGACAGGTTGTTCTTATTGCATAGATCAACAACCTAACCAACAAATAAACATTCTCCACTTTGCCAACCATCGACTTGATTAATCGTTCCACTAGGCTCACTCCAACTTAGCTGTTCGTGTTCTGTTGGTTCGAAACAACCGAGGTTTACGTCGATTGGTCACTGGAGAGTAACAAATTTCATCTTGTGTTGTTCTATGCTGGTCGAATTCTAGGAATTATTTTATTGCGGTTACCAAGCTAGAAAATTCAGTATTACGGTATACCTTGATTCTTGTTAGTTGATTAGAGTTAATCGACAGTATGCTCTGAACTTTAGGTTCATATTTGAATCGCTCATTGGTGAGGTGTTTAACTGGAGCGCTGAGCGTCGTCGTTTCATATCTCGTGGGGGACATGAATTCTCTTAAGGTTCGAGTTAGGCATTGTTGACGAGTATAGTCAGTCAGAAAACCTAGGCTCGGGTTTTATTGGCGATTACCTTCAACCAACGAATTAACGTCTGTTTAGTAGACTCGTTTTAAAACCTGCGGCTGATATTCTATTAGTCTCCACATGGAACAGCACACCCACAAGCGAGACGATAACGGAAAAACAACCGGAAGTTGTTTATCATTTCTTAGCATATTGTTATTATAGACGTTATCTAAGTGCGATGGTTATTTAATTTGAATACACTGTAGAAGAGGTAAGTTTGTTGAATACCAGTACCTACCAGAGTCCTCCTTAAGTGTCATTCATAAAGTCAAAGAGAATAGTTCAAAAGGAGTAAGCTCTCAACAGCTGTCCACAGCAGAAGCACCAGTTCAAGCCTCCTCTATGCGTCCAGAGGAAGTAAGTTCAATCTCTGATCTTACTGTGATCTTAACACTTTCGCAACTTTTCGACTTGGTTATAACTAGTCAGTTTACTGTTATCATCTTCATGACCCTTGTTTCCTTTTGCACCTTTATATTTATCATCAGGACACTCAATATTCAGGTTTCACATCTACCAACAGTTCTCACCTTGTCAAACTCCTTGCCTTCCTCATTACTTAATTTGTCTAAAAGATTATTAAGCAACTACTTCCATTCTTGATTTCGGCTTATTTTAGCACCAGCTTAATGATGCAACTATGCCCTATTGTTTAAGAATCGACTGTTATATGTTCGTGATATATATAAATACAACTCTAAAACTTTAGAAAACGATTTCATCGAAAAAGAGAATTTTCCTCGCTGAATTATCTCTTCTTTAAAAACTATTGTCCAGAAGAAAGCGATTATTATTATTATTATTATTATTATTATTATTATTATTATTATTAGGTGTTAGTATACAGCATTTTCACGAAAGGCGTCAAGTATTTTTTTATCTAACAGGAGAAAGTAGATGAGTCAAGACTCCGTAACTTCAAATGAGAGTCTCTGACTGTAGCAGCAAGTGATGTGTATGTGAATGTTGAGAAAGAGCACATTGTTCTTTGAAATCACAAGTATGCTCTGGTGATACATATTAGCAAGTATGAAGCAAATATACTGCGGACCTTCTTGTTAACATTCTTCAACTTCCCAGCAGAAAGATTTTTAAACGAAAAATTAAAACACAAGATACACAGCTGTTATAATGCATTTCTTTTAATAACTGGACCGATGCACAGTGGAGTTCGACGCCGAGTGATCGATTAACCCATGTCAATATTTTAGGAAATAGTAAAAGGAAAATAGTAATGGAACAGAAAAATGCTATAAGTGATGGGATTCGAACAAACTGTCATGGGGTAACCTCTCTTATGTTTAACCGACTGATTCAATCAGCTCCCAGTGGTATTCCAATCAACGAGTGTTTTGCTAACTTATTATGTGAATGGATAATATAAAGACAGTATTCATTATTTGCCACAATAGCTACCCCTTAAAGTCTTGAAAGAATTCAAAATGAGCTGACAGACTAATGGTTTTTCAGACCGTCTGGGATAATCCTACTTGAAAGACTGACCCAGAGAGATACAGTGTTGACGATAAAAACTTTAAAAAAAACTCAACGTATAACACAATTGAAATATACACGTTACGATAAAAACCTGTACACAAAGGTGAAAATACTTTTGGTATTGAATGATAAATCGAATTTCACACTTACAAAACAGGCCAATTGTAACCCATTTGTGTAAGTACATATTGTAGTTGTTGAAAGTGTAAGCGTTGGCCAATTTCAACCTTGTAACGTAAAATAATCAATCGAGTAAATAACATGTTTGTGAGAGAAGAAAAAAAGTACTAATGACATTAATATATACTCAATCTCAAAGAGTAATTTAAATCTTACTACCCCCATCTTGCTTGGTACTAGAACGCCTATCGATCAAAATCTATGAGGAAAAAACAGCCTATTTTATGTCCTCCATTCACAAACACTTTTAATGAGTCCTTTGACATGGATGAGTTAACGACCGTCTGGAAGGAAATTAAAGTATTTCTGATAGTCAAGTCCATATCTTCTGGAGCAAAGTGTGAAATCCAAACCGATCTTAATAATCACACCATTCCCAAAAACAGTGAAAATATTGCTACTACTTGTGCTTTAAACTCCGTTTTAGGCTTTTTGTGATTTAAATCAGATTGACTACGAATACAGAAGAAGTAGATTAGATGCCTCATCTGTTCTATATCGTATAATTTTTAGTTTGGACAAAGGTACTAAGTATATTGGATCTATGCTTTTAGGTTATACTTTGTTGCTGAATATCTCCCTAAACCTGTCTTATTAAAATGTGATTGCCAAGATACATATTGAGTCCCGGAGTGTGAATTGGCTTTACTCTTATTTCTCTAAGAAGAAGCCCTACACCTTATATGGAGGGAAACACACTACTTCACTATTCAGTGAAGCTGGTATGCCTTAAGGTGACACTATCTCTTTTTCTGCTGTTTTTGCACGGTTTACCCTCCTCAATCGGAATTAATCTTGTCACGTATGCATATGACCTGATAGTATCCATGCCGATCACCTTCTCTTCAGATTGTTGTCACTTTCATAACCTCTAAACCGAAATTGGATATTAGTTTTCCTTGTATAGCCTCATAACTAATCCTTTCAAAGGCGGGCAGTTGATTTCAGCTTAAGACGTGAAGGAGACTTATGCAAACTGCTCCAACTCCATGATTTTGTATTACCCATGGATTTATGGTAAAGAATGTATCATCTGTGATTCATATTAGCATAACTCAGCCTCTATTTTTAGGTTTCGTCAATTTCTGCCTTTGGCCTATTCTTATTCATTGTCTCCTCTCACCCTTCCCTGAGTTATGGGGAGAAGGTTTCTAGTGAAGCTGTTCAAAAAAATCAAGATGCACTCGTTAACCACATGTATGTCTATGCAGTAGGCAACAAAACACACCCATTGTGTGAGGGCCCAGACCTCGGTGGTTGAAGCGTAGATCAAAGCTGTAACCTGCTGCTTGTTAGTCAAGTATCTAGACCAACGAGCAAGAGTTCCGCTTACAGCTAGTGGTGCATAATTCACTCAACTGATAAACGTTTGCGGCCAGGTATCGTAATTCTCATAAACAGCTGTTTTTCATTATTTTATCCAGTTTTAAGCATCCGCACCTTCTTTGATGTCTTTATGGAAGGAAATAAACAAATACATTAGAATTTATGCATGTACGACTGAATCAAAAACCCCACCATAGCTTATTTGAATTGGATATTGTGTGAAAAGTATGTTAGAAAAAGATCTTACCAATCAACTTTGCAACAGCAAACAGTTGTCTTAACCCCGTTATCAATTACAGATTTGAACAACCCAGTTGTTTTAAAATTTTATTGTTAACCATTATTATCGCTAATATATTTTTCAACAACGTTGAAAAAAGAGTCAACTTTGAAGCATTACATGTTGACAATTCTGTATAGTAAACAAAAATGTGGTTCGGAATAGAGCATACTACTATTACCCACCAAACCCCTCAATCTCTATAGCTGTACAATAGCAATTTATACATTTTCGTTCAACTATTTATTATAAGAATTATTTAATTAAACCTAGTAATGAAGACCTGAGTCTTTGCAACAACTGACACGGAATCATGCTCCTGTCCACCTCAACCAAAATACTATGCTGCATCATCCTGCAGAGACTGGCTGGCTGGCTTCAGGAACAACAAATCATGAGCGGACCAAATTGCAACACTACGCTACCCATCATCATAGAACAGAGTATAGAATCACAGTCAACTCTCTACCTCAACTTCATCGACTTTGAAAAGGCTTTCGACAGCGTCGATCGAGAAGTTATTTGGCAGGCAACTGCTCCAACACTACGGTTTTAGTGTTACAAACCTTTATCAACCTCATTCAACAGCTATATACTATATGATGCTACACACCAAGTGATTCACAATGGAAAGCTCAGTGATGCCTTTGAAGTGAAGACAGAAGTAAGACAAGGCTACTATTATCACCCATCATCTTCTTGATTGTGATAAACTGCACTGGACTGGATTGTGCAACAAACTGTTAGGAGCGAGAGGATGGACATACGCTGGCTGCACCGATGAAAAGAGTCCTGAAGGTCTGGATTTCGCCGATGATGATTTATGTCTAATGTTGCAGAAGCTCGAGGATCTACAGGCGAAAACTAACAAGTTGGCCGAAGAGGCGAGGCAGCGAAGGAAGACGGGGCTTCAGGTGAACGTAGAGAAGACAGAGGTGATGAAGATACCCAACCAATGCCACCACCACCAACAACAACAACAAGCACCAATCACCATCAACGATAGAAACCTAAAGGAAGTAGCCTTTTTTTATCTACCTTCCTAGGCAGCATAGTTTCAGTTACAGGTGGTGCAGATGAGGATAACGAAGCGAAGTTAGGAAAGCCAGCAAGACAGGCTTTCATTAATCTGAAATCAGTGTGGAGACCTACTGCACTCAGCATAAAGCGTGGACAACATCCGGATTTTCAACACCAACGTCAAGTCAGTGCTTCTGTATGGCTTAGAGACTTGCCATGTTACGAAAGGGATTTTCAACAAACTACAGACATTCATCAATAACTGCCACCTACGCTGGCTCGTTACTGAAGACCAGATGGCCAGAATAATAAGAATAAGCAACAAGGAACTCGCTCTGGGGACGAACAAACCAAGAACCTATCGCCCAACAAATATGCAGTGGAAGGAAGTGGAGACGGATTGGAATGGGTATACACTGAAAAGACCGACTGGGGACATCATGCGCCAGGCCAGGCACTTGAGTGGAACCCAGATGTGAAACGACGAGTTGGGCATGCGAGGTGAGGGTGACATGGAGGAGATCGTGCGAGGAGGAAATGAGAGTTTCTGGGCTGTTGTGGAGCAAGGTTCAAAAGATTTCAGAGGACAGAGTGCACTGGAGATGTGCTACTAAAGACCTATGTTCCACTAGGAATCCAAAGGACAAATAATAATAATAAACGAAGACCAAATTCAATGAAGATTCAAAGTTCATGGATGTAATGCAAAGTAAAAAGCAATCAAAAAGAGCCTAGGAACTAACATAACCGAGTAGAATATAAAATTGCATAATATGTGAAAATAATTTTCAAGATGAAGCATGATCAAGGGTAGTATGGAAACAAAATGAAGAGGATACTGATTCCTTAAAAATATATCATAAACTATAACAAAGTTGTGAATGATAAGAGAGAGATTATTATTATTATTAGCAACAAAGATTGTACAAATTTCTTTTGTACACATAATTCCGGTTTCTTAATGCAAGTTTCTGCGGTAGAGAGAAAACAGAAACGCATTTTTGGTAAATTTCTTTTCACCTTGTAGATGACTTTGAACGCCTAATCAGTTGTGATGCGATGACCAGTGTTGACAAAGTGTTCAGCTGTTGCACTTCTGGTCGATACATTCAAGCATTTTGGCAGCCAGGCGGGGTAATGTTTTCATACCCATTTGGAAAGAACACACATCGAACGACTTGCATACATGGCTATACAGGAGCAGATGAATTGATAAACACACATGGAGGTAGTCAGATTCGGAAGTTTATCTGAGTTGTGAAGAAACATTGGAACGTTGACATGAACAAAATTTTCTTTAGCGAATTTGGAATTCTTCTCTTCAAGAGATCTGCAGCAAAGTCACCTTTTAAGTCAATATTCATGCATAAAATCTTCTTTGGAACTGAAATGGGTATATTTCTTCGTTCATTGAGTCTTATTTTTTGTCCAAAAATCGTACTGGATATCCGTTTTAAGCCAGAACGCCTTTGAGAAAAGTGAGTTCTTTTTCTAAGATATCAGAGCTGCAGATTCTTCCAACACGGTAGGTAAGTGACACGATAAGTGTTCTTCTCGACTTATAGGTGCCCAGTGGTAAAAATTCATCAGCTAACCACTCCATACAGGTTTCCTGTAGATAGACTTCCTCAATTTCCCATCATCTCGTCTGGCGAGTTCTACATCCAAAAATGTAATCTTCGATTCTCTTTCTAGTTCAAATGTGAATTTAATTTAGGGGTAGTAACTGTTAAATACTTGTAAGAAAATTTAAATCAGTCATCATGGCAAATTATGAAGATATCGTCAACATACCCTTTGTACACACAAAAACAAATATTTAGCCCAATGTTTGTAAGAATGATGAGTTTGTAGCTTTAATTACTGCATTGGACTCCTTCAAAGAGAAGTCATTCCACTTCAGTTGATACCTGAAGACGATGAGCAGGAGGTATTCATCACCGAAAATCCTTCCTTTTTGTTAATAAATAGCAAGGTGTATTGAAAGCTTCAGACAGCAAAACATACTCCTGACTGGTGTGGATAGTTAGAAACTGTGCTTAAAGAATACACATTTAGATAACTCTCTAACTACAAACATTTGATTCCTAAGTAATCTTAGACTCAACAGATCCCTTGATGATAACATTGCTTCAGATTTTATGAATTTTTTTTCATGTCTATGAAAGTTTTGATCTTTTGATGACCTTCTACATCATTTTAACTTTTTGAACAGCTTTAGAACATTTATACTTTTGTACATTTCAATATCACTTTTCTATCCACTTCTTGTGTGCGTACTACTATGAAGTGTAATAAATCTATGCCACTTTCTACATTATCACTTGACTATCTGGGATAGCCGTAGTTTGGCAGTCTAGTATTTATGCTGAGTGATGATTGAAGGTGAAATGAAAATTTGGACAGCGGCTGGATTCGAACCAGTGACCACTGGGGTTACTGGCCCGATGCTCTACCAACTGAGCAACGAAGTCCAATTCGTCTGTCTTGTTGAACCGCTTACTAACAACTTCAACCAGTGCTGTTTATTTCAGACAGGAAGCCACTCCATTAAAAACTAAAATATCACGTCAGATAAACAGATGAATACACGTGCACATACATAAATGCATCATAACAAAATTGAATAAAACTCACCACATAATGGATTCTGTCAAATTGATATTCATTAAACCGAGTAATAGCAGCTGCGATATCCCTATGACAACACATACACACATATATACACGTAAAAGAACAACTGTGTTTTTCATTATAGACAAGAAAGTTTACTACTCCCTAAAAACATTAAATTTGGAGGTTTGTGGGGATTTATTCATTTATTTTAGGCGGGTATTCATCATGGACAGATATCTGTTAGAGAAACATTGGATGGAGGTCGCGTTATATCATGAACTCATAGAAGTAGGAAATATGGACCATCTGATTCCAAATCAGTGGCTCCATAGTAACGTGCTGGCAGTGGAACATGAAGGTCCTGAGTTCGATCCCCGGCGGGGTCATGGGTGCGCACTTCTGAGGGGTCCCATACTAGGACGAAACACCCATACAGTGTTCCCAGGTCTCCAATATTTCTCCAACTGTTGTCACTCCATAGTGAAAACCAACCTGGAATAAACACTATATGTTGGTTGAAGTAGGGCTAGATAATAAAAAACTTAAAGGCAGTCAAATTAAACCTTGCCGTCAGTTAATAAATTCACTGACTTTCGCTTTAAACCTTATGGGAAAATGTCAACTTGCAAAGAGAATTCAAATTATCTATAGGGTTGTTATATAGTGAAGTCAGATCGGAAAGTAAACGCAGGAATTCCTAACAATGATGTGACTAAGGTGCAATTTAAAGTCATAAAAACACCCAGAAACACTTTGCACGCTAAAAGATCCAGTAGCTCTAATTAGGCAAGGTGACCTAGTCAATCAAGTACCACATAATAACTAAGGGATCAATCACACAGATGAAAGTAGTTGACAAGGGTCAGTTAGGATAACAGCGTACCAAAAAATAGCAAATTATCGAAGAACCGACCCTACATCGATAAATATTGCAGAGAAAAGCCCCACTATTGCTATGCATTCACTGGTTCTTAATCATATCATAAGCAGGGATCGAACGAAAAGTCTAAAACCGAATGCAGATAGGTTGGGAAATGACGACTTACTGAAGCTTTGGTCATCTAAGCAATGCCTAATATATGCAGTAGGAGTGGTTCATCATGCATTGCGGATATATGGAAGATTTTACTACTACCAAAAATAAAATGAGTTAATTCTGTTGGTTGTGGTTAGCAGAAGAATCCAGGACGCGCGTTTCGTCCTGTTTGGGACTCAGCTAGATGTACCTGCACCCCAGTGATGTTGTTCCCACTAAGACTCGAATCTAGTACCTATATGCCCATATGCCAATAGAAGTTGAACAATTCGATCCAACAAAACAACGGAGAATAACAAGTATGTCAATAAATGGTAATAAAATAATGAGTTGTTGGAATTTGAAAAAGGAGTTTGAAAGTTGTATAATTACTTTGGAATGAATATGAACAATAAATTATGCGTAATTCAGTAAGTGATACTATATCACTGTATGGTATATCAAACAAATAGTGTAATATGGAATTATACTCTACCAAACTGGCCAAGATTTTATTACACTTAACAAAAAATAACTTGAATAGTGACGATCTGTTTTCCTCAAATGGTCTAAAAGTATATCATCACGATGAGTATGGTTATACAGCGAAGTGTAGTGCATAGATGTAAGTCAAGAGTTCTGTATGTTTTAGTTTCTTTGATGAGAATATTGTCTGTGCTTCTTTAAAATGTCATCTTAAAAAATTCTCGAAGTTCTAATGAGAAGTCGTGGGATAAACTAAGTCGGACGTGAAGATAGTTACACAATGACGGCATTGCATTGAGGTCGAGAACTGATAGAAGTAGGAAATATGGACCATCGGATTCCAAATCAGTGTCTCGATGGTAACGTGCTGGCCGTGAGACCTGATTTCAGTTCATGATGAATACTAACCTCAGAAAAATAAGACTTGCCTTTGTTTTTACTGCAATGATTTGTTCCACTTAAGACTTACTATCTAGTTCACGAAATTCCCAACCTCTAGATGTAACGCTGCTTTTTTAAACTAACACTTGCAAAAACTTTCCGTAAGTAGTAGGGTATCATTATACTGTGCTCAACGCAATTAATAATTACATTCTTTTGAAAAATCTGTTGATAGACAGGATTGTTTCCTGATATCTTCTTACAGTACTCCGATTACCTCAATAATAACCTTGGTATCAACATGACCTGTCTTTTATCTCAGTCTAAAAAAAGATTATCTACGACGCAACCATAAAATATTCCAGAAATTCTAGTCGTATCATACGTTGATACTTGTAATTTCCTGTTGTTATTGCTGAACCTCTACTAACATACGGACACATACAGATGCCTTGATACTGTCTGAATATCCCATTATGTTATAATTTACTTGGTAGTGGCTAGCAGTGGAATGCAGGACGTGCGTTTCGTCCTATTTCGGACTTATCGCGTGGATGCACCTGCACCCCAGTGAGCGACTGTTTCCCCGTTGAGGGTTCGAACTCACCACTCATAGCTTCAAACGCCAAAGGGTTATCCAGTGACGCATGAAAGTCACCGCTTGTGCAATAAGTATAGTTTGATATTATTATGTCATTACATTATAATGATTTGCGTGGACCGAATTCACCGGCTTCTCTGCTGACACATGCCATCCTCTGCCCTTTTCTGAATATGGTTAATGTGACTGCAACCCAGTGCATGCAGGTATATCCAGCTGACGAGTTCCAAAAAGAGCGAAAGATGCATGTTGATTTTATTAATAGCCATTATCAAGTAAATTATGATCATGCTAGCTTAGTATGAACCAGCATTTTTCCTATAAAGTGTCCAAAGAATGGATTCAAGCAAATGGAGTGATATTTTTCAGAAAATATGTTAAAAGGCAAACTGGATTTTTAAAGATACACCTACTGTAAGGATTAAAAAAGGCCACTCGGTCTATGATCAATTTTACGCAGAAATTAAGAACAGAGCAACTATTACATGTTTATTTACTTACCTAGTCAAGTATAACGTCGAATTATCACTCTTCAACAGTACAATATTTTGTTTTGAAAAGTTTACGTCATCGGCTTTTTCCGTTGATATGCATATCAATCCATCACTGTGAAGAAAATGGATAAAGAGGGATGGAAAACAGTGAACAAACTGTAAAGAATACTTATGTATATTATCAGTCACTGTCAGCATGGTACATAAAATTACGTCATAACAGTTTAAGTCACTACACATCACACAAGCACATCAAGATACAAGGTAATAAGATGAAAGAAGTCAAAGTAAGTAAAGAAAAGTAACAAAGATTAGTGTATGGTTATATCTGCGCCACTGAGATCGATTCTGAGCCATATTCCTTACAGACTCCAACCACTTAGCTCCTGATGTAACGAGGATTCCAACACCGAAGTCTACATTTTCCTACATAGTTCACATCAACAATAAACGGTTTCATGGGCTGATGCAGTGTTTTATTCTGGTTTATCAAAATCTTTTTTTCAGTATGAACCTACTTCCACAAACATTGTGCGCTGTGGCAGACGATGACTAGGCATGCGTAACACATGTTCTAGCCACTTCAGTCGATGAATATTCACAACTTTATCAAGTAATTTTCCCTTCCTCCCTAAAACTCTACGTCTGATTTCTACCGTACCGAAATGGTGGCACCGTAACATACGACTTATGCTACGAAGGCATTGGTAGTTAAGTACGTGAAGCCTCCTCATGTCCTCTACTTCTAATAGTTATGTTTCTCAGCTACATAGTAAGTAGTACAAAGTGCAATACCATAGGTGATTAAAGTTAGCAAGAGTCAAGACAGCCTTTTGTGTCCAAGATCTCAACCACATCACTCCACTACCACAGACCAGGCAAAAACCAGAAATTTATTTTGGTAAATGAGAAAAGCATCTCAAATATTTTCAAACTGCCACTGAATGTAGTTAGAAAACTGCAAATGACTTCACTTAATATTTATCCTCCTTTAAATTCCCTTAACTGATCCTCTTTTTCTCTTATTTCTTCAATATCTTTCCTGAGAATGTGAATACTATGCTCCCCTTCCTGATCTTGCCTTCTTTCGCTATACATTGTTCTGTTTTAAAGTGTGCTAATCAGAACCCGGATACAATTACTCCAAGTTCTGAGTCTGTCAGTTACACTGTAATTGCTAATGTGTAGCGCATGAAGTAATACAAATGTTTTTTTTCTAACATCACTTTAAACAGGATCTTTCCGGCAGTTATCTGGACATTCAGACAACTACATGAATATCTCTCTGGAGATAGCATCTGTAGCCATGCTGTTTTGAAGCAAGGTTATCCAAGATCGATACGATAGTGTCCCAGGTTTCAAGTTATTTGAGGTTAGTAGCCAGATGATTGAAAAATGCACTGGATAAGTTTATTTGGTTCATCCAGTAAAGTTTGCATTGCTTGTTTTCTGTTTTTAATGAGAAATATGAATAACAGCAGAAATGTAAGTAGCTACCAGGACTATTTTACCTTTAATACTAACAAGAAATTCCTACTGTTGACAGGTATAACTTAACTTTACGTAGATAATCAATTCCTTCATGTGATTCAAAAAAAAGCTGGGACACTGACAGAATGCATGTGTCAAGTTACTGAAGTGAACATTTATTCTAGTGAAGATTGTAACAAACCCTAAACAGTTAAAATGATTACAACATGACCTTACTTATAGCTAGAGACACAACTTATGTGAACAATAAATGTTTAGGTGGAACAGTAAGAAAGAAGCCTCCAAGTTTTGAAATCAAGCCAGGACAATTATTCAAGAAGCTTAGATTTACTGACCATAGTTCACATGTAACCGAAATCAGATCCCATAGAATTCAGAAAATGTGGCTTTATTAAGAAAAATATTTCAATAAACCTACCGACTTTTGAATGCCAAACCCATTGCCAACAATTTGTCAACGACCAGATGAGCTTTCTTCACATAATCAGACTCATACTCAAAAGATGTAAAGTGAATATTCATGCGCTATGTAGAAGACAATATTTTCCAAACCAAAAAAGAAGTGTAAGACTGATAGAAGAACAAAGGAATCACTTTTAAACAAAGGTAATGAAGCATATGAGACTGTTACTCACCTTCGTGGTGTAATATTTACTCCATTTTGTGCACATTTACTACTTATAAGTAACAGATATGTTTTAACATAATTTTCTAATTTGCTCTGACTGGCTACTTTATTGCTTAGCATAATGGATTCACTATTTTCACACTTTGTAGCTTGCACTTTCTTTCCTCATAATTTTACGCTAAATTTGAGTGTGTAATTTATATCACTGATTATGAAGTGTGAAACAACGTTTCGACTTGAAACAACTCTGGTACTCACGTGAATTTAACAAATAGAATTAGGACTTGCAAACCAAGAAACTTGACTTCAAATCAATGGATCATAGGTTGGAATCCCACTTCACTTACTAAGATTTTAGCAACACAATAGTATGGTATAGAACAGCAATAGTCAGCTAAATGAAATTTTAAATGGCATTGTGAAACGTACAACAATGTAAATGAGTGAATGAAATCATTTTCAATTAGATTCTAGCCTTTCCTCTGAAACACATACATATGAACTAATTGTGGTGATTTGTCTGTTAAGGATAGCAAGGATATAGATTATGCAACGTAGAACAACCCTTTTATAATTATATTAAAACTTCTTGTATCCACTAACTTCCGTTTTTACTATTACACGATCTCATTGTTCTTTCCCACGATTTGACTTCATCGACTGTTAGAATAGCTGTTTACACAATCGAGTCAATCTCAATATTTTTATTATCACCATTATTACTGTTTTTTGGTATGCTAGGTGGTATAATCAACATCCTTGTCATCGTTAGCTGAAAAATCACCAAGATTGGTTTATATCCAATGAATTTGCTTGAAGCTATTTACATCAGAGTAAAACCTGAATAGGATATAATTGAAAAGGATGTTGTTCATTCACGGATGAAATAGTTCATTATCTAAACTATACATAGTATTTCCAGTCTTGGTTGTATTGTGTTCTCTGAGCTGGGTTGTTTAGTTGTGGAGCTTTTATCGTCTTTCTAGACGACATCTGCACTAACTTCAGTATGAAGTCAGAGAACACAATACAACTAAGACCATCCAATTGAGCTACAAACATTCTCCACCATTTCAGTATTGATAGTAAAATGTTGGGTTATGGCTAGCAGTGAAATCTAAACCGCGTGGTTTGCTTTATCTGAGACAAATCAAACGCATGCGCCCGCCTTCTAGTAACTGATGTTGTCCCCCAGATTCGAACCCAGTGCTTTAAATGGCAGAGCACCAAGTACAAGGCTACTGAGTTATGATAAGCACTCCTCGCACAACGTGTATAGTTTCGTGATGTAGCTTGTAACTGCCTACCACTGAATGGTCTGAAGTGACTGTAGATAAGTGGGTTCCTGTGGAATTCAAGATGCACGTTTTATTCTACTAGGGTTTGATCACTGCTTAAATCTTGGGTTACCAAAAAACTTTCTACTGATTATATTCTGTTAAATTCTTCCCTTTTATTTTGTTTTAACTTCTCCAATGTCTTCTGAACTCATCATGTACTCTCGCATGTTTTCAAAATGTTTTCGAACGTTCCGCCGGTTGGAAATGGATTTGTAAATGCTCAAAACACACCATATTACTATTCCTAGGATACCTGTATGGGATCGTCAATTTCTGTGCTGGCTGACTGAACTGCCACCATCAAAATTACACTCGATTTTGTGTCTTATTTTCCGAACCGAGAACAGATGATAATGTAACACTAGCTTCCCGCTTCACACTTATTCCTTCAAAACTGTTATTATTAACAGCATACAGACGTAATAATTATTTCTTTTAAAAATATTGTACGCAAAACGAATTTGTTGAAATATTCTATGCTAAAAATTCCATACTATATTATGCATGCTGTTTGGAATACGGTGATCATTATTATTATTATTATTATTATTACAGGCTTGCGTTGAAAAAGATCCACATTCTTCTTCTCAATAGGGCTATCTCACCTCATCGCCTGTTTTCTGTATTCCCTCCTAAAATCTATCACTCCTTTCTCAAGAACTTTCGTCAGTCAACTGTCAACTACTATCACTTCTCTCAACAGTATCGTGGTGTGTACAAATTATAAGCATGTGATAGGTATGGCTTAAAACCTAATTAAGAAATCTGCACAAGGATGATGATAATCCATTGAAAAACAACTGATTAATTGCGGCATACTGATGAATACTACATCTTACTCTATCGGTCACGTCGCATACTTTAACGACAGTTGACTGACAAGACAATATGTTTTGCTGGCTGACAGCAGGCAGTCGACAAAACAAACTATTTAGCTGGTCTTTATTCATAAATGAGGCTTCATTAGCAACTTCATATAGACTCATCGTAGAGACTGATTTTCATTATATAACAACCTGTCGAAATAAACTCAGAAATGCCATGTGTGTTTGTGCAGTATGCGATGAGCCAGACCTACTGTAAGGGAGTTAATGATACCACCCGGCTGCCCAAGCCTCAGTAGGCGAAGTGGGGTTACAACCCGTTACCCACTGGCTGGAAGTCGAGTACCTTATAAAATGGCATATATGCTTGTATGTTCTACAGACTCATATTACAATCTATTAATGACATAGAGTCAGCCTTCAGAAAAAATATAGGTGGACAGCATGGTCATAAGTATGTATTCTCAGTGAGTATGAGCTTATCCATGATACAGATGTATAGTTTCTTAAAGACTAAATAAAAATAATTTGCACTGCGAAAAATTTCCCTAAATATGCAACCGCTCGATGAGAAATTACCGTAACATCAACTGTCTGATTACAGATGATTATAAATATGTCACAGATATTTTTAAGCCAAACCGTAGACAAGTTCCAATACAGTGCATTCTCTCCAAGCACGATGTTACTTATAGGCTTTGTTTTTCAAAAAGATTACATCCTGGCTATAATGACACCCAAAAAAATCATCAGATCATCTGGTCAATTTACAGAAATCTAATATGCTATCATTCATTTGAAAAGTACACCGTCAATTCAAAAATACATTAACACACCGCCTAAGAAACAAACCTGAGTCTGAATAGATGACAAGAAACAAGTGGGTAAGGACACCCTGGCAGGCAAAAAGAATAAGAGTTGGAAATGAATGAAGTCACAAGCTTCATCAACTGAGGTTATTTAAACGAAGACATGAAGTAACTGTCAGTTTAGACCGTATCAAAAAGTGTATTAGTAATATAACCCAACCCCGTAGAGATGACACACTTAACTGTGAGAGGGCTGGCTTATGATACAATTCGGTAGCCCGGGTCAAAGTACATGTAGCGGCATCTGCACCCAGAGCCCATGCGTTTGAAAGCCGAATGCACGAGTGTCTATGCCAATGAGCCACCTCTGACATACTGTACATCGCTTGGTTCCAAATTGAATCTTTCCGAAAACATTAGGAAAGTGATGAACATGTAAAGTATTTTCATTGCAACCCAGGTAGATAACCACGCGAGTGTTGCGAGCTCTGATCTGGATGGTTTAGTCGTAGAGCAATCATTATCTTTCTATACATCATCAGCAATAAATCTAACATGAAGTGACCTATCAGTACTTCTCCATGAGTGATTCAGTAGTCGTTTTCAAAGTCGAACTGATGCCCATAGTTGTCCCTATGCAATGATGTAAGGTATGGAATGTCATGACTTTTAAGCGCCAACTAATGTCCATGTAAATGAAAACGAAAAGGGTTGCCACATTATCCAATACAGTGCTGACTGCAGCTGCTGCACTTGTTTCTATAAATGATGATCGATTTGTCTTCTTTGGCTGCTGAATCCTTCAACCTGCATAATATAGTCACAAGGGAATTTCTTGGTTTATGAGCTATTCCAACTCTAAATGACTTCGGTAGTCTACTTATGATCTCTGATACTTATTTACACGTAGTAGGACGGTTCTTTTGCTCATTTCTGCGAATGGCTTCGTAGTTCACGATGAATTGGATGGGCATCTGATGAACGTTCATGGGTAACCATTCCTCTTTAGGACAGACATTAAGTAATTTTTCTCATTCCCCCATTAATTGGTGGTACTGCAGTGTTTTTTCTCTTTTAAATCAATTTTGAACACAACTAATTCTGTACACCATTGGGCTGGTGCTGTTGTAGTTAGGGATTTGATCAGTGTGCATTTTATTCCTGTACACTTGAGTCTCCAATTTTCCAGTACTGATTCTTCCAACTAAAACATCCAGGAATAACAGTTAGTTGTTCAATTCTGCCTCCACTGTGAATTTGATGTCATTCAGAATGTCGTTGATCAAATTGTGACTGCTTCCTCATTCAAACTTTTTAATAATTACAAAGGTGGTGTAGTCCATATAGTGGATTTAAATCTTCAATCTGATCACCAGTAAAATAAAGGGTTCCAGTCTCTGCATTACTGCTCCTATAATTAATCCAGATATAGGTGATCCTATTGGAATTACTTTCATCTGTTAGTATATTTTACCACTGAGTTGGAAGTATATGTTCAAAAAAAGTCAATGATTTATATCAACTATGATCAAGATTGACAGCATAGTATCGTTAATATTGGGCGCTGAGTAAAAGGTTGACATTAGATATAGTTCGTATTTGTGTAAGTCACAGAAAGTTTGAAATGAAATAATCCCAACGTTTTGCATAAAGGTCTGATCCAAGCCTCTTTAAGGAAATAGTCAAAAGTAAAATATTTTAATTGCGATTATTTCCCTGAAGAAGTTCGGACCAGACTTGCGCGCGAAACGTTGGAATTATTTCATTTCAAACAGGATGTGACTTATACAAGTACAAACTATATCTAAAGGTTAATGAGTTCCATAAAAAGTAATCGTTGAGGTTCTTTGCGTTCCGAAAGCCTTTCGTCACGTGGAGAGTGACAGTAACTTCAGCTAGTCGCGGTTCAACTGATATTTATTACACTGTGATATCGAAGAACACCATTAATTCGTCGTTTCCGATGTTAATGCCTTTGATCCTCCCTAAAAATGCTGTCGGCGACTTCATGGAATGCCCATATGTTTCTACGAAGTGTTTCGGTTTTCCCCAGAGCTCTCTGGATAGGTTGTGGATTGGAGTACCCGGAAGTCGAACTAAGTCGTAGAGGAATGTTTGGTTTGAGTAGCTCTGGTCTACTGTAAAACCGACGAACAGGACTATTCGATGCCATTCCCCATTGGTCATATTTTGCTGTTTGCCCAGCTTTGATGAGTTTGTTTAAGGTCTTAGTGAACCGATGGTCAAACTGTTTGGTAGGGTTGTTCACAAGTGGATGTACATTTTCGTCTTTGAGTCAATCCTGAGGCTTCCTTTTCTACGACTTAACTGGTGCCCCCTTTATTTTACGGAAGTATAGTGATGTTTCACTTACGTTTGAGTCTTTCGACCGCTTTGTTCCTGAGTGATCGGTTAAAATGGTATCTCTCTTCGATCTGGTCATTGGCATTACTGTTTGCTGCACTTTTTATTGAGTTCCCCTCATTGTATCTTGATACCTTGAGTGATGACCCCAACGCATCATAGAATTCTGGTTTTTAGGCGACCCTCGCATCGTAATTCAGTTTTTCTTGAAGAAGTTCTTTGTCGCTTAATGGTAGTTGTTTACTTAATTTGACTATAAAGTCATTTATTACCTTCGTTGAAGTTGTTTTCGGAATTTCGATCAGCTTTCTCTGAAGACCTTCCTTCAACGTTCTTTATGTTGTCTTCTTGATTTTTCAATTGGTACTGCTATCTTATGGCTTTTTTTGGTTATCAATTACAGGTTGCTACTTCTAGATACGATTATATGTATCAGTAATCACCAATTGTACCATTTTATCTTCCGCTCTGTTCGCCTATTTTGATCCCACTGGACAGTCAGTTAATGGTCTATATCTGAGGCTTTTCGGCAGAATATACTGAAGGAGATATTGTAGGGGAAAGGTGATTGGTATTGGTGACTGTCTGCAACTTCAAACCACTTTAGTATAGTTCAGGTGCACAGCCTTTTTAGATAACAACACTTCTGTGGCACAGTCTACGGCTGCGACTAACTGGTTCCCAATAATATTATCTTCGTTAGTGATGGATTGTTACTCAGTTATGAGGGATCTCAACGAAAATTGCATAAGCGAGAAAAAAATTTGTAAATCATAACACCAAAGTTTATCTTGTAGACATGAGAATATTTCTTAACAAAGATGACGGTGGTATAAAAGAACAAGGGAAGAGTGGAACAGAAAGTGACAAAACACAATATATAATCTTACTTTATAGTTCGATTTTAACTCCTCATAAGTTACTTTGCGAACACGTTGCCAAAAGTCTGTGTTACGAGATTGTTCTTCCGTTTGGTTGCCTGCCATTGACTGTAGCGATGTCACTTCACTTCCATCGCTTATCCCATGAGCAATCTGCCTTTCACTAAGCAACAACTGCTCATCACGATGGGCTTGTACATAGATCTATCATAGTAGAATTTAAGCAGAGGAAAAAATAGGGATACAGAACAACTATGTAAGTGAACTGGTTAAGATGTTCAGTCACTTCATGCTCCAAGTGCTTATGTGAGTCATAAAAAGTAGAACTGATGCATAATTGTGTCAGGTACACTTCTGATGATGTCTGCGTTTGTGAGACATTTGTTAAATAGTCAACAGATTCCAAGGTTATAGAACCTTTAACGAAGACAATGTCACTTCTGTGCAAGCGTTTCATACGCCTACAATTTGAAGTTACGACATTAAACACAGCTGCAAAAACAAGTTATTTACCTTCAAGAAAATGCTTTCTTTATTACACTTTTATGATGAAAATTTGCCAACAAGAAAAGGTATAACATGCATACACATCATATTATGACGAATAAACTTACTTTGTACAAATGTTCCGTAGGATTTCTCTGAAATTCAATCTCATCTCCATACTTTGAAAACGCTGAAGTCAGTATATCTAGTTGGTTCGCGCGAATGAAAACAAAAAGGATAGTAAAATAAGGAAAGATACGTCGATTTCACAAGCGAATAATTTATTTTACTTAAAAGAGCAGTTCATTTCTATATTCAAACAGATTTTAATAAAAGAGTGGTGTTTCAAACAACATACGTATAAAGACATGCTAAATGCTGTAGTATTTGTGAACTCACATGTGATAATGCTTGCTAAATACCTGAAAGGAGAAGTTCATATATGACGCTGATCAACCATTTGTTCCAGATTGCTTAAAATATTTTCTTGTTGGTACGCAACACTTTTTTGTCAGATATCATAAGTTGTGATCTTGACTATTCGGTCTCTAATAAAACACTATTGGCTCCTGAGTTGAGTATTGATAAAAATAATCGCTTTTGAAAAATGTTGATATGGACTGGTACAACCTGTGAGTAACTCTTCATAAATCTTAACTATGAAAACTGAAGCAGATTTAGTTGGCTAACAGATATGTACAGGCCATTGATGATCCAAGTACTAGAAAAACCTGGGTTATGACAGAACCAGAATTAACAATTTCACGGTCACTGGCTATGTATTCTACCGAATGATCTGCAAATCTCAGAGGAAGTAAGCTTTTCTTATCATTTTAATCAGTTAAACTTTAATTCAAGATATATTAAAACCCTTGAGGAAACTCATGCTTCTCACAACAAATCCGCAACCGCAATAATAAACTTCACCAATGAGCTATCGTTCCAGCTGCAATCAACTCCTCTTGGAAATGAGCTATGTACTTTGAATATTAGCTAAAGCGATACAATTTAATTATCTCAGAGTAACGATTGAGAAAAATGACGTTTGATATGCATTTCACACACGTCAAATGCGAAAAATGGAACTATAGGACTGGTATGTGCCGACTAGTTTACTAGCAGTAGAATACAGTAGTGGAATGACTAGATCATAAGTATTGCATCAGCCCTTGTCCTTGAACTTTTCTGAACTTAATTGTGCATACCAAGGGTGTTTTGGTTCCACTAGCGTAAAACAATTTGTAATAAGTGTAAAATACCCAATTGATTATCGAAGAGCAAGTTAACTAATGTATATTCAAATTACATTTGTTATGAGGCTGACAGCTGCTGAAAAAGATAATTGATATGATGGTAGATACTCGAATAAATGTACATTCAAAACAACTTTAGCATGTAAAGAAATCTCTCAATGAGTGATACAGTTAGATAAAGAGTTATGAGCATTAGGGCAAATCAGACGACGAGATAGTAAACTAGCACTAACTACCTGGCTACGGTACGGGGCTACACACAATAATCATCTGTCTACTTTTAACAATGGTGCTTAATGCAACAGGTTGTTCAAAATAAGATTTGACCACAATCCATGGGATTTCCACCAATGATAGTGCTAGAAAGTTTATACAAACTGCAAAATACATTCAGTAATAAAAATCAAGTTGCATGATACAGAAGTGTCGAGAAATACCATATCTAGGTAGTAAAGCAAAATGAACGTAGAACTTTGCATACAAGTGAATCTGCTCACGTTGCCACACTTTACAGTAGTACACAAAGAACAAGCTTTAGAAGACACCAAAGTGTCAATACATCTGCGTCATTGTGACGAATTTTCCTCAAACACTGATTCCTAACGTCTCGACGACCCCAACCAGGCAGTCTACAACTCCCAATACGGTTTAAACCAATAGTCAGGGACTTCATCAACTAATGTCACATCTTGGTCTGGCTACCCAAAACCCTCTCCTAACCTAATCCAACTTTCCCTAGCATGGCACGTTGAGGTATGCGCAGTACATGTTCAAGCCACCTCAGTTGATGAAGGTTAACAACCTCATCAATAGACTTGCCCGGTACCCTACTCCTGGTCTCAACATTCAGTACACAGCAACTCCACCAAACGCGAGCAGTGCCACGAAGATATCTATGATCAAAACCCTGTAACCGCTTCATATCTTCTACTTTTAAACGCCATATCTCACAGCCATATAACACGATAGAACGGACTGCAGCGCAGTATACCCGTACTTCAATATGTAGTCGGATATTCCACCAGTTGGCGCCACAAATAACGCAAATGGGCAAGTGACAAACGGGCCCTTCTGTATCCAAGAAGAGATTTCGTCAACAACCGGCCCATTCGGGCTGATACAACTCCCCAAGTAAGTGAAGTGGTCAACGTATTCCACCAATTCACTACCTATTATTATACAGGGAGTACTTACAGACCAGTCCTGGAGCATCACCTGGCATTTGACAGGTGAGAGACGCATGCAGCCAAGTATAATCAGATATCCGCTCAATGCGTCTTGCCAACATCTTCACCTAGTAGGACAATATCGTCTGTATACTTCAAGCCAACCACGGAATAGGTTAATCCCTGAGAATTCAAACCTACCTAAAGTTATGTCCATTAGTAGGTCTATGACGAAGCTAAATAGGAACGGTGACAGTGAGCATCCCCGGTGAACACCACTACTTGTCGTCAACTCACGTGACATCTCTCCATAAGATCTTACACGGCTGCATGAGTTCGAGTGAAGAGCTTAGCGTGATATACTTTCTCCATACTCCCTTAACAGTCAGACACCAACACAACACCTCACAGTCGACAGAATCAAAAGCTGTCTTCAGGTCGAGAAATATGGCAAGTGTCGGCGATTGGTCGGATGACTGTGTTCAAGAACCTGCCGGAAGGGGAAAATATGATCGATGCATCCTCTTCATGATCTGAAACCTGAATGGTTCTCTCAAGTTCGCTGTTATCTAGCTCCAGTTAGGCATTGGATAACTATCGATCCTAGGATCTTGGACACAATATTAGTCAAACTGATTTCCTCTATAGTTGTAACAAGAAAAGTTATCTGCGTCCTTGTAGAGTGGAATGATCAGTGAAATAGACGAGTCTGATAGAACTATCTTAGATTCCCTCCAGTCAGCAATACCTTACTTCCTTCCTTAGAAACGTCAGGCGGCAAACCGTCATGTCCTGCTAGTTTGCTTCGCGCTGAATTTTGATGAGGAACACCCTTACTATTTGAGCGCGGTTAATAGGAGCTACGTTGAGTCACTCCGAAAAGCAGAGTAGATTTTACTAACTCTCCAATCCACTAGTAATGTTCAGAAACAACTCATTAAACGTCAAAATATAAAAAAGAAAATTAAGTTTACGAATGCACAGAAACCTTACCAAACTGACTGCCCCAGTCTCCGATATAATTTATTCCAATCACTTTATGTCCAAAAGCTTCATTGATATTCTGAACAAAATTTCCAGTTACCGTAGCCCGAAAATGACCCAAATGGAACGGTTTAGCAATATTTGGAGAGCTTGATACCACCAAAAAGTGGATAGAGGGAGAAAAAGAAGAGAAACAAAATGACGATGACAACAATTTATTTGAATGAAACACAAAATATAAGAGTATACCTATAATCGACGACGACAGTTTCTCCATGATTTCCATTATTAGTACCTGTTAGTATTCGTGGTAGGGGGTTAGAGAATAAAAGACTTCTAAAACAATTCTTTAGCTCTACATAAGAAAGAATGAGGTGGGTAACTTACTCGCCATTCCATTTCGCTTGTATGATTAGGTTTGACATTCAATCATGCCATATTTAATAAGGATTGTGGAACACATCAGGAAAGAACGATCATTCGTATTAACAGCACCTATAAAAGAAAATTTCTAAAGTTTATGAACTTATTTCGGCAACTGCATTTGTTCTAAACTCTGGCACACCCTATAAAAAAAAGCCACAAGATTTTTCGACTGACAGAAAGGATATACTGTTTTTATGTCTCAGTCAAGCTATGACTTCATAACGGGTAACCAAAAGATATGTGGAGACCAGTTGGACTGTTCATCACTGTTCTGACTAGCGTCTTCGTTATTTCCGTTGTGGGTCACATACTGATATTCTTCAAACATGCTTTCACTAACCATCAAACCCTTTTACTCTTTTTAAATGCCTAAACAGAAGTCTACTACTGCCACATTTTGCATCGCTTTACACTTTGCGGATCACCACTTCTCGCAATCATAATATAAATCTTTCATTAGTTCAATCATAAATTGCTACCAATCTATGATGTGCTGGGAATCTGCTGAAATGGGTTTCAATGCATCTGTTAACTTCAACATGATTGTTGGTAGGAGATCAATGAGTACTCAAAAAAGACCTTATTTGACTTATTGAATGCATCAGTTTATACATATCATATTGGTGACCCATGGAAAGTTTTTTTATGACACAATTTTTAAAAAATGCCATAACAGTAATTTCCTTCTATATCTAACCAAACTTTCAGACTTTCTTTTTCATGCCAGCCTTGTGAGTCCTTGTTTAAAATACAGGTCTACTATTGTGATGACCGAAAGAATGATCCACTGAATATGCTAACTATAGTCACCACTTTTAATCTAACAAAGACGCTGAGATTTTTCTAAATATAACTTTTATTTAGTGTCGACTTTTTGCTCAGCAACCTCGCCTGGTTAACTGATTCACTAGTTACTAGCCAGTCCTAAGCCCGGATAAACCGGGAAGGTTGAGCATAGGGCTAGCAACCTCACCCAGAAAACCAATCCAATCGTCAAAGAAACTTCAAAGCACAGAGAAAATTAAAAAAATAAAAAGAAACCTATTCCTCTCTGGGATCGCGGAGACGAAATAACGCCGGTTAATGAAAGCCTTCGGGAAGCCAATTCGCCGATTTGTCTTCTCTCCTCTCGATGAAAGTGAAGGTAAACGTGAGGACAAGGAATGTCTGCATCATGTATGAACCTAGCAAGGCTGTCCAGATTGCAAACGAGATGAGAAGATATCGCATTGAAGTGTTAGGAATTCGCAAAAGCAGATGGAATGGAAGTGGACTCTCCAAACTGTCAACTGGAGAATCAATAATCTACTCCGGTCACCCAGACGACAACCATGAGCAAACTGAGGGAGTGGCTACCACGATGTCCATAAGAGAATCGAAGGCTCTTTCTGTCATCCAGTGGGAACCAATCTCCACCTCCACGATCATGACAGCAAGGTTCCACTCAAAAGGAAGGAAGGTCACAATCATACAATGCCAATACTATGCACCCACAAATAATGCAGATGAAGAGAAGGAGAATTTCTACAGACAACTGCAATCAACACTCCACAAAACCTCAGTTGGCGACATCAAAATTCTAATGGGTCGGGTGACATGAATGCCAGACAAGGAGCGGACAACACACGAAGAGAACTAACCATGGGATGAGAAGCGCTCAGTGAAATGAACGAGAATGGACAACCATTTGCAGAATTCTGTGCATTCAACGATTTGATTATTGGAGGCAGTGTGTTCAAGCACAAGGATATCCACGAAGTGACATGGGTTTCGCCAGATGGACACACCACACTGAAAATCAGATCGACTTCATCTTAATCTCAAGAAAGTGGAGACGCAGCCTACAGGACACAAGATCAGATCAAGAAGGGGAGTAGATGTAGGTTCACACCACTACTTAGTGCGAGGAACCTGTTTTCGAAATCAAGTTCAAAGCCTTCACAGAAGTTGGTGATAGACCACAGTTCAAGTTCAACACCAACAACAGAAAATGAAGGACGAGACTACAAAGGAAATCTTCACGTCAGCCATCAAGACAAAATGAGAGATATCGAGGAACATCCCTGAAGAAACCTGTGTAGATGAACACTGGAACTCTTTGAAAGAGATGTGGAAAGAAACCTGCACAACCGTATTAAGAAGGAAGAAGAAAGAAGATGAGGAATGGATCTTGACGGACACATGGAAGCTGATAGAGCAGGGAGAGGAGGATGGTGAAGCAGAAGATAAACCAGTGCAGTGCAAGGATGAACGACAAGAACAGGAACTGAGTATAACGTATAAAACACTACACTGGACAAAGAAGTGAAGAAGAGTGCGCGGAAAGACAAAAGACACTTCTACGAAACACTGGCAAGTAAAGCAGAACAGACTGCTAGTAGGAGAGACAGAGACCTGACAACATTGTATCAAATAACCAGGTTACTATGTGGGAGGGAAGAGATCAACACCGATGAAACCAATAAAAGATGAAGGAAATTTAATTACCAAAGAAGAGAAACAGAGGAAACGATGGGCTGGCCGACCACTTCAAGAAGCTCCTGAATCGACCACCACCTGCACTTCGTCCAGAAATACCACCAGCAACTGCAGCCACAGAACTAAAAGTGAACACAAATCCTCCAACAAAGGAGGAAGTCCTGAACGCCATAAGGAAATGCAGGAAAGCAGCAGGATCAGATGGAATTCCTCCAGAAGCTCTGACAACAGACGCAGGGACAACAGCGGACATGCTCACATCACACTACTATTGCAAAAGGTCTGGAAGGAAAGGAAGGTACCTGGCGGTTGAAAGAAAGGCTACCTTGTCAAACTCCCGAAGAAGGGAGACCTAAGGGTTTGCAAGAACTGACACGGAATCATGCTCCTGTTCACCTGAAGCAAAATATTAAGCCGCATCATCCTGGAGAAACTAAAGGATGTGCTGGATCCAAAACTACGACCACAATAGGCAGGCTTCAGCAAGTACAAATCATGTGTGGACCAAATTGCAACGCTTCTCATCGTCACAGAATAGAGCATACAATGGTAGTCAGCTCTCTACATCGACTTCATCGACTTTGAAAAGGCACTGGAGACGTGCTAATAAAGCCCTATGTTCCACTAGGAACCCAAAGGACAAATAATGATGATAATAATTTTACTCGCCACACAATATTTATGAAACTATGCGGTCAAATCTTGACTACGATTTACATAAGTGATAGTAAGTATGGACTCAGTCTGATTGAAAAAGAACATCACCGGACTTACTGATTGGTTAAGTTCATTCTCACAACCCAATAATCTGCCAAAGAACTCAGTGGTAATGTTTAGATGAGGGATTCGACACCGGTAGAAAAGATAGTGAAGACAGTGTTTTTTGCTAAGATAGATTCTGCTTTGATGAATGCTTCCGCTTCTAGTTGTGATTTAAATTGAAAGCGTATCGGACAGCAGTGGTCCTGCTGGCTTTTTTTAGTCGAAAACGTTTTCTTGAACATCATGCATTTTTGCTGTTCTAAGCAAAATTTTCCTTATCGCCTTCAACTTTGTCGTGTCAGGGACTTTGTAAACTATCGCGTTCAATTTAAGTGCAAGTCTCCTACTTACTTCAGTTGTGATAGAGTTTACCAGGTGATCTACCTTGGATAGTGTTTCGACGTCAACTTCATTAATTGACTCACTACGCGTCAAGATGCTCAGTGGCAAGAGGTTGCTAATCTGAGCTCCAATTTCATCCAGCTGGGGTGACACCTCGAACGCCCTTAACATACTTTCTTGTGGTGCATTATTCTGTTTGTCATCCTTCAGTCTGCGTATTTCTGCCCTTAGTTCCTCTATAGAGGGCTTCAGGCTTTCGATTTTTGGAAGAAGTGACAATGACACACTTGAAGGCTGAAGTCTAGTTAGTTTCACAAAAGATGTGGAGCTTCCATTAAGCCTTACATCTGCTGCGACATTTAGTGTTGCGGTCTTATTACATGTTGGGCATGTAGAGATGTTTTTATTATTATCAACGTTGGCTGTCTTATCGAACGCGGTTCTCCTTCTCTTGAGCATAACTGGAGTACAAGCTGACTCACTTATGCTGTTGCAAGAGGAATCTGCTTTTGGTATTGTTGATGCACTGTTCCACAGACAGTTGTGTCCGTGCCTTTTTACACGCATAAGCCATATCTAGTTGCATGTCTGATATGTGCTTAATCATTTGAGAATTCAGTAGCTTTATTATGACGTTAATAACAAAGTTATGACGCAGTTACGAAATCACGTTAAAATGTGACACAAATTCAAACGTACCGCTACTCAATACCTCACGTTTATGACTTGACTGCAACGTCATGAGGGATGAACACATCCTCCAAGATTCATCTGGTCAAAGCGCATAGTCAGATACCCATGGCATCAGAAGATATCGCGAAAACAACCATTATTACTCCTTTTGGTTTGTTTGAATTCCCGCGCATGCCGTTTGGTCTTCGGAATGCAGCACAAGCATTCCAACGCTCCATGGATGATATCTTCCATGGTTTTAATTTCGCCCACTTCTAAATCGATGACTGTCTCATTGAGAGTCCAAATAAGGAGATTCACCCTAAACATTTGGACCTCGTATTCGAAAGACTAAAAAATATGGCATCACAGTCAACTTGCAGAAATGTGAAATAGGAGTTGACTCACTCAGCTCCCCTGGGCTTACCCTTGAAAATAAATGCATACGCCCATCGAGAAATACACTGGCGGCTATCCCAAACTAACCAGAGCCAACCACTGAGAAGCAGCTGCGCACTTTCAGTGGCCTGGTAAGTTATTACCGAAGGTTTATTCGCAACTGTGCTTTCTCTAAAGCCAAGAAAGCCATTTTAAACGCAACCATGCTTATGCATCGCCAACCCAGTGCTCCTTTGAGTATTGCTGTTAATGCATCTGACTCAGCAATTGGAGCAGTTTTGCAACAGTTGACTGACAATCATTGGCAACCTTTAGCCTTTTTCTCAAGGCGGCTGCAAGATGCGGAAACAAGATACGGTGCATTTGGTAGAGAACCCCTAGCCATGTACTGTTCTGTAGGCCATTTTCGATATTCGGTGGAAGGTCGTGATTTCATCATTTTCACAGACCACAAACCGTTGCCGATGCACTGTCTCGAATAGCTTTGATAAACCGTATCGAGGGCATTGATATCGTCTCACTAGCTCTGTGTCTAAAAGAAGACCCTGGGCTGCATCATGAGCTGTCGTCCACAACTCTCAAGTTACAACTGTGTTCAGTAGGATCAGGCAAGGACAGTTTTATGGGACGTCCCTGCTATTCAACCACTCCCGATAGTTCCGTTGAGATGTCGACGCAACGTCTTCAGTGCGTTGCACAAACCGTCCCATACAGGTGTACGAGTCACCATTAGGCTTATTGCACAACCTTTCTGCTGGTAGGGAATGAACAAAGACGTTCAGAAGTGGGCCCAGTCGCTCTTGGCTTGTCAGAATCGCAGTCACACGACACATGAAAAGCCCTATGGGTTCTTCTCTACGCCCAGACACGTGTTTCGACCACCTCGATATAGACATTGTAAGACCTCTACCAGAATCTAGTGGATGTGCTTACCCTTTCACTTGCGTGGATCGTTTTATGCGGTGGCCAGAAGCAGCACCTATCAAGGCTATTACTGCCGAAACTGTAGCTCGTGTTTTCGTGTAAAGGTGGATCGCGAACTTTGGATGTCCATCTTACGTAACAACTGACCGTCTGCACCAAATTGTGGATTATTTCACGCTTCAACCGCACTTTTAGGTTGCACTCGGTCCCGAACGACAGCCTACCATCCACAAGCAAAGGGCGTGACAGAAAGTTTCCGTAGACATCTGACAGCTTCCCTTTCTGCTGCAAACATACCTCAGTCGACCGAAGCTCTACCTGTAGTCCTACTGTGTATTCCTAACGCCTTGAAAGTTGATGCTGGTTACACTCTTGCAGAACTCTTCTATGGGACCACTCTTCGCCTACCAGGTGAATTTGTTTCCCTTCCAACTTTCAAATATGTTTCCGACAGGACATCCTCCGTGACTAGGCTTACAAACGCAATGCGTTCAACTAGGTCTTCTTCTGCTAAACCTTAAATGACTGATGTCTTCATTCACTCCATTTTACAAGACATCACACGTGTTTGTTCGCCACGACGCCGTTCGCCGACCACTCGAGCCATCTTGCGATAGGCCATTCGGAGTGACCAAGTGACATGAGAAATTCTGTGTGACACAGCGAAAAGTGTATGAAGATGCTGTTAGTATCGACTGTTTGAAACCAGCTTACTTCGAGGGCAACCCCATCATAGATGAGGTTTCAGCTTGCTGCAGCCCACCGGCGGAGAGCCTAATTATTCAAATTCTTGACGATGTGCCTGGTACGGCACAGATACAACAACCCTTGGAGCAACAACAAACGCGATCAGATCGAACCATCATGTCGTATTCAACTTGGTGGTGGGAAATAAAATATGTCGACTACTTTTTCATTCTAAATTTTTTTCGAGGCGCCACTTTTCTTATTCACCGGCAATGCGAAAATCCTCATATATTTTACGTTTTATATCAGTTTTTACCACCACGTAGTGAAACTTTTTCAGGAAATGGAAACAGGCACAAAATCTATTTTCGATATATTTGTGTACGAATAAATCCCACTTTTAAGGAGCGTTTTCGTGGTGTTAAAGACTTTTATTAATATTCCGGGTGAAACGGACGAATGGACTAACAACGTTGGTTGATTACAACACAAGTTTTGAACACTGCGTGCTTTTGATATTGATAGTAGAACCTATCTGCGCGATGGGAAGTGAAAATCCATGCCCGTCCCATGAATTTCAGCAAAGTTTGATAAGATTGTGCACACTAATGACTTGATGTGTGGATTATTTAATACTAAATACCAGTTCGTAAACTTTAAAAAATAATGAATTTGACGGTGCTCGTAAACTGATATCCCTCGTGTTAAACCCATTACATGAGGATAATATTTATCATTGTCTAAACTTTAACACCCTGCATACTCTGAAAAGTAATATTTCCATGTTCGTTTCATAACCATTCGAGACCCGTAGTCTTGCAGATATTTTCAGATACATCAACCTGATGATGCCCGTAAACTGGCTTCTCCCATGTTAAACTTTTTGATGTAGGAATAAAACACTTATTTATTTATTAAATAGTGTCACCCATACGGCAGCCACGAGGACACTGAGTTTTGGAGTGGCTATTGTGATGTCTCCAGGATCATGATGGCACGGCTCAACCCAAAAGGAAGGCAAGTCACAATCATATAATGCTACGCTACGCACCTATAAATAATGAGTATCAAGAGAAGAAGGAGGAATTTTACAGCTAACTGCAATCAGTAATGAGCAGGACACCACCCCAGATGGTGACATCAAAATTTCAATGGTTGATAAGAACGCCAAACTAGGAGTAGACAATGCAGGAAGAGAACTGATCGTAGGTCGAGAGGCACTGGGCGAAATGAACGAGAATGGAGAACTGTTTGCAGATTTCTGCGCATTCAACAATTTGGTGACTGGAGTGGGGCAGGGTGTACAAACACAAGGATATTCACAAGGGGACATGGATTCGATTCCGCCGAATGAACACACTCAAAGTTGGATCGACTTCATCTCAATGTGAATAGAGTGGAGACGCAGCCTACTCGATACAAGATAGAGAAGAGGAACAGATGTAGGTTCACACCACTACCCAGTGCGAGGAACCTTCCAAACGAAGTTGAAAGCCTTCACAGAAGTTAGTGATAGACGACAGCAGTTCAAAATCCAGGACAGAAACTGAAGCATCAAACTACAATGGACATCTTCAGTCATCAGAACAAAATGGGAGACATTAAGCAACATCCTGGAGAAGACCTGTATGAAAGAACACGGGAACTATTTGAAAGAGACGTGGAAGAAAACCTAGACAACCGTGCTAGGAAGGAAGAAGAAGCAAGACAATGGATGGATCAATACGGACACATAGAAACTGATAGAGTGGTGGGAGGAAGATGATGAAGCAGAAGACGAACCAGTGCAGTGCAGTGCAGTGCGGGGGTGAGCAACGAAAAGAGGATCTGAACACAAACCATAAGATGCTGGACAAAGAAGTGAAGAAGAATTAGCGAAAAAACAAGTCACACCCACAACACATTGGCAGGTGAAGCAGAACAGGCTACTAGTAGGTGAGACCTGACAACGCCGCATCACATAACCATGCCACTATCTGGGAAGAGGTCAGCTCATATGAAACCAATGAGAGATAGTGAAGGAAAGTTAGTTACCACCGAAGAAGGGAAACAAAGGAAATGATATGCTGACCACTTCAGAAATCTCTTGGATCGGCCATCACCACCACCTGCGACTCGTCCAGAAATACCACCAGCAACGGCAAAACTGTCAGTGAACACAAGGCCTCGGACAAAGGCAGGAGTTCTGAGTGCCATAAGGCTGCCAAAATTCAAGAAAGCAGCAGGACCATGTGGAATTCCACCAGAAGCACTGAAAACAGACGCAGAGACAACAGCGGAAATGCTCACACCACTACTGTAGAAGGTTTGGAAGGAAAGAAGGAAGGAAGGAAAGGTATCTGCCAATTGATTGGAAGAAGGGGTACCTTTTCAAACCCCCAAAGAAGTGTGGGTGACATAGGTCTTTTCAAAAAAGTGCACGGAATCATGCTCTTGTCCACCCACACCAAAATATTATGCCGCATCATCTTGGAGAGACTATAAGATGCTCTGGATTCAAAATTACGGCCGGAACAGGCTGGCTGGCTTCGGGAAGACCAAATCGTATGCGGGCCGAATTGCAACACTACTCTACCCATCATCATAGAACAGAGTACAGAATGCCAACCAACTCTACTTCTACTTCATCGGCCTTGAAAAAGCCTTCGACCGAGGCGCCGACCGAAGAAGTAATTCGGCAGGCAGCTGCTTCAACACTACGGTTTTAGTGTTACAAATCTTTATCAACCTCAGCTATATACTGTACGATGCTACACACCGAGTGATTCACAATGGAAAGTTCAGTGATGCTTTTGAAGTGAAGACAGGGGCAAGACAAGGCTGCCTGCCACCATCCATGATCTTCCTGGTTCTGGTGGACTGGATCATGCAACAAACAGTGAGGGGAGAGAAGACGGGCATTCGCTGTCTCGTCGATGAAAAGAGCCCAGAAGAAGATCTCGATTTCGCCGATGATGATTTGCGTCTTATGTCGCACAAATTCAAACATCTATAGACGAAAACCAACAAGTTGGCGGAGTAGGAGAGGCAGTGAGGGAAGACGGGATGTCAAGTGAGTGTATGGAAGACACTGGTGATGAAGATATTTAAGCAACACCAACAAGCACCAATCACCATCGACGGGAGAAACCTAAAGGACGTAGACTCTTTCACCTACACCTGCCTAGGCAGCATCGTTTCAATTTAAGGTGGGACGGTTGGGGAAGTCAAAGCAAGGATCAGGAAGACAGCAAAACAGGCCTTCATCAATCTGACACCAGTATGCAGATCTACTGTGCTCAGTATGAAGAGCAAGATCTGGATTTTCAACGCTAATGTCAGTCACGACCGTACTGCTTTATAGTTCAGAAACTTGGTGTGTCACGAAAAGCATTTCCAACAAACTACTGACACTCATCAACACCTGCCTACGCTGGCTTGATACTGATGATCAAATGACCGGAAAGAATAAGCAACAAGGGGCTCTCGCCCGACAAGGAACCGACCATCAGCCCATCGCCCAACAAAAATGCAGAGGAAAGTGGGGATGGATTGGGTATACAGCGAGGAGACCGTCTGCAGACATCATGCGCCAAGCCCTCGAGTGGAATTCAGAGGGGAAACGGCGAGTTCGGCTTCTGAGAGTGACATGGAGACGGTGTGAAGAAGAAATGAAAGCTTGTGGGCAGTCGTGGGGCCAGGTTAAAAAGACTGCAGAGGAGAGAGTAAAGCGGCGACATGCCACCAAAGCACTATGTTCCACAAGGGGCCCAAAGGACAAATAATAATGATAAACTACTGGACACTAGTCGCCTGTTCTGCCCAATGCTTTAAGCTTGGCAATTAGGACTGCAGAACACAACTGCACTGCGCAGAGTGGAACTGTGGCCCAATCGATCGCACCATTACTCCTTGCAAGGAAACGCAAAACTTCAGCACTGCCGTTGCGATCAATGTCACTGTTAGTCCTCATGCAGACATATGCTGGAATCAGAGATGTTAAGTTCACCGCCACTGCTGACCATAACGCTGAGGTTTCCTTGGCATCAGGTGACAAACCGTTAACTGGCTCGCTTCATGCAGCCAAACTATTTGCAAAGATAATTAGGCTGATGCAAAATGCATTTGGGCTACTTGATCATCCATCCAACACACGAACGGCGATATAGGTATCATCTGAAGACCCTGGAGCCTCAGTTTCCTTTTCACTCCTCTCTACCGAGGTCTCAAATTCGGCCCTTATCCCGTCTCCAGAAGAAAATTCAGGTGGGATCCCATTTATCCCCTTTCGGTTTCCTGTATAGATTGCTGAAGATGACTCCCTTTTCTTCACTGCTCTGTAAGGCTAACCTTACTAGTGGATGAGAAGCTTCTGCTTTCTCTATTCTTTAATTTTGAAGTCACGTGGCCCATCAGAAACGCACACCCCTTGGGGTCTCCAGGTGCATCTGCTGGACTGCTGACTGTAAATTCCGGGTAGCGGGTGTGTCGTTTCGTAGGGCTCGAGTCCCCTGACTTCTCCGGTCGCCAGTTTAATGAACAAAAAGGAATCCGTGATTGTGGATACGGTATCATTAGCCTGTGAAGTCCTTTCAACTTTTCGCACCCCTTTTACTTGGCCACGACTCATCTGCCTCAATTCCAAAATTTAGGATGCTGGTTCGCTCCTCGAAGTTGAATCCCAACCGGTAGTCAAAGGCCTGGAAATCTGCAGGTTACCAGATCCCTGTGGTAACAGGCACCAACTTTTCATTCGTTTCGTTCGTCACCCTACTACCGTTTTGCGGGCATTACCCGGTCCCCTCAACACGTGTATTACTGCTACTGATATCATCCTCAGTCTTCAACTGTTCAGAGAATAATGTCAGATACCATAGTGGGCTTTTGGTTCTCCGTGTCGCTTTTGCCGTCAACGCTGGCTGCATCACCACTGGACTTCAGGGAGCACTCAGTGATAGTTCCTTGGCTGAAAAGAGTTAAATGGATTCTTGAGATAAAATAGTGAACGGCTTAAATAAAGGTTGCATAACTGGTTCCATGAGTCATTCATAAGCCTTGTATGTCAGGCCAGTGCAAACCTAGTGAAACGTCTGATCAAAATCATCTCAATTCCTACCTTGTTCTACAGATGGATTGGCAGTCTCAGTAGCCACACTTGTTCCTGGGATTAATCGTAATCGCGTTTCAAAATACAGTTAGTTGCAGCATGCATCGAGGGAAAAGAAATACCGGTGTGTAAAAGAGACACAGGAAACCGCAGGAAAGGCGAACCACTAGTTTAGCATGTTGGTTTCCACACGCGAAGAGTGAAAAGTACCACTCCTTGAATGAACTGTCTTCAGTTAAAAAGAAAAGAGGAAACAGTGTTTCCAACGCATTAAACAGTGTGACTCTACTTATCAAAGTGTAAATTGTGCGAAATTTTTAGTGCTGACCTCAGGCTTGGCGTCTATGTTCTTGCCCTCTTCAGCAGTTGGAAAGAAGTGAATGGCCGCAAACAAGGACGAAAGTAATTATCGAAATTTCCTGGTTTCATTGTTCGGTCTGCAACAGCAGCCCGATGAGGGGCTGGTATTTTCACCATCATAAGATTCATTTAGGCCAAATTAATTGATCATAGAGTGACGCATATGTATCCGTAGTCTGTCTCTATTCTAAAAATTAAGCTGTATACGCAGCCAGGGGCTATCGTGGCTGTAGAACTACTTAGACAACAGGGAGTTCTGCATGAAAGTCAACAGAGCCTACCCAACTTGGAGAACATCCTCATCCCGTGTCTCACAAGGAGCAATCCTGAATCTGCTGTTGTTCCTACTGTTCGCAAATGACCTGCCGCAACATATCAGCCCGCCGATTCTCCTATACGCTGATGATTTCAAGTTATGGAGGGCAATAACTTGCGAGGCGGAATCTATGGCATTACAGAAGGACCTTAGAACACTAGAGGAATGGGGAACTAATAACGAACTGGCATTTAATCTAGGTAAGTGCCGGTCCATGTTTTTCCGCACTCCTGATCCACAGAAACCATCCTACTATCTCTGTGCTTCACGTCTATCCCATACCACAGTAGAAAAAGACCTGGGTCTAACGGTGACGGAGAAACTGGATACCAGTTCCAACTACCCAGGTGATGTCTCAAAAGCATATGGGGTACTACACTTTGTGCGTAGACAACTAGGTGCCCTCACCCAAGAACTCCTTCTGAAGCTCTACAAGACTTACGTACGGCCCCACTTAGAAGTCCAGAACGTCTTCGCTCCACCACAGCTGAAAAGAGGCACTAACCTACTAGAGAAATTCCAGAGGCGAGCTCACCTTGTTGTTGGAATGCGACGAAAACTATATGAAGACAGACTGAAAGACCTAGGCCTATACTCTCTTAGCTGCCGAAGGTTACGAGGTGACTCGGTGACGGTCTACAAAATACTGAATAACCCAAATCACCCAAACAGAGGAGTCCTACCAAGTGGCCACTATGGAGATCCTTGAGGAAACCCCAACAGAATAGCCCACCAAAGGTCAAAAACGCATGTGCGTTCACGGTTCTTCTCCCTCCGGGTCTGCGGGTACTGGAACTCACTACCAGCCGAGGTGGTCCCCCCCCAACCATTGGAAGCTTCAAGAAGAGACTAGACAGTCATGTAGAGACTCACGGTCTACCCACACATAGCTGGAACACGAGCTGATGTCAAGCCACCCCAACCAGTTTTCTTTCTATTGTAACCAGTTGAGCCCTCTTAATCTCTTCCGCTTGCCATGAGTTAGCCTCACTTACCTAAGTTCTTCATAAGTTTGCACCCCTACTCACCTTACTTGGGTGTAAGTAGATTACTCCATTAGTTCGCTTGTCCTCTCCTCTTTTACTCACACAAACACTTTCTAGGTTTTCTCTTCACTATCCCTAACCCTCTCTAGCGACCAGTCCAAACAACCGTCTGGCAACTCGACATCTGAAGAAGCCAACTGCACCACAGTCCAAGGCAAACAAACCAACACTTAACTTCCTGTTCTGTAAATCAGAGCTATAGCAGACAAGTGGCTGTATCTACTACATCGGAATCAGCCAGAGGCCTGGAACTGTTCCGCAAGACCAATAAGCGATGAAGAAGAAACCAACTGGGTCACACAAGCTCGTTAAGAAGGTATTGGATATTGGATATTTGTTTTGCTTTGTCAATAACACTTTAAGGTTACTTGAACTACAGCAGGCGGTTTGTTAAAGGTTTGTCCATTTGGTTGTTGGTGGCTTAGGTTCTCACCAAATGCAGTATGGCTACACTAGAAAGATATCAATACATTCTAATCACTTTGGTTCTTTTACTTACTTTCAGCAAGGTAATGGCTTGGCAGTCCAGTGGCAGAACACATATTGAGCTGATAAACAACTTGTACAGTAACTGAAGATACTTTTTGCTTCATTTTTTGCCGCAGACAACCGAGTAATAACTTCAGAGCTTGTTAAAAATATTATGCTTTCTGTGGACCGTGGGTATTTTGCTAAGACAAATGCGTACGAAGACCGGCCACTATCAATTGGCTTCGCTGCAACAATTAGTGCTCCTCATATGGTAAGTTCATTGATCACCGGAATAATGTATTACGCTTGTGTGACGAAATCTCTTTTCTCGTTGAAAAGAGAACGTTCTCAGGGCTCATCTCAATGTATACTCCCCATGTATACTTAACCTCCTAGAGCGACCTATTAGCTTTACTGTTTTAATTGTTGCGAAGCAGCTGCTTCCAAATAAGGTGGGGTTAAAAAGCAAGTGGATATTGCAAATTTCCCAGTTATGACCTGCGTTTCGCCCCAAGTTTCTTCATCAGTTTTACCGCATGGCCCATAGTTTTGCCCCACAGAAATGTTCACTGCGAGTCCCAGGTTGTTGGTGGACTCTAATGCAGCAGACCCAGTTATCTGTTCATTGTGCTGATGATATCTAGAATGACAGTAAGAGCTCCAAGACTAAACCATCCGTCCCAGTGAACACAAAGTCAAAATTACCCTCTTGAGCTACATATATTTTTACGTCGTCTCGATATCTAACATGCTATATTCCAGGCTTGGTTCCTGTTTGTATTCTGTAAGACTAGTGCTATAACTAAGATTCAATGAATGATTGGGTAGATGTCCATGGGTGTGAGTATTATATATATGATATGCCATGTTTGTATCAAGTGACAGGTTTTCCTCATTGATCCCTTTTCTTTAGATCTGATAAATTGGAGACATGGAATAACTCCTCAACACTAACAGGCAAGCAAACGAGCAGCTAGTTATAATTACTTCGAAACTATTCTTTCGCATTAATGTGCTAAGTACAAGCACTTCGTCGTCGACAATTTTTTATGAGATAGGCCAACATTCGAATGTCTCAAAGAAATCAGACCTGAGATAATTTGTACTAAAAACAGATAAACCAACGTAAAACCTAGCATTAAAGTGCGTCAGTTCAAGCTGTTTCACTTTACAGTAATATGTTAAGAAAAGATGGGTAGAACGCGGATGACATGAAATCTGACATGTTGAAAAATTAAAATTTCAAAGACTATATCTCCCTTATTATTGATTTTTAGCTGTCATCAAAGTTCTCCAACTAATGGTTATCAGCATCTCGAGGACGCCAGTTAAGCAGTCTGCACCACCCTGCATGGCTCAGACCAGCAGTCAAAGGCTTCATAGACTGATGACATGTCCTGTTCTACTCTCCCTTAATGTTGCAACCCGGTCATACTTCGGCTAACACTTTACACCGAGGTAGACTCTGGTTCAGTATGCGCAACAAATGTCCAAGCTGCCTCGGTCGGTGAACGTTCACAGGATCATCTACATACCTTTCTTGCCTAGTACTCTTCGCCTAACTTTGGTAGTGCAGGAAGGGTGCAGCTGGGAAGTGTCAACCGCTCGTACGCTCCCAGTAGTATATAAGGTTTAACCATGCCCCTCCTTTAGCTTCACTTCTTGATACTAATATTAAACCTCCATCAACCCCTCACTCTGCGACGATTGTCAACTATCAAAGCCGTCGGTTTCGAATTCGTAGTCTCCTAAGACCCCGCTATCGGTTTCATATTCGAGCTTTCAAAATTTGGACCTTATACAAAATCGAACAATCATTGCTCGCTAGGATCCTGGAATCTCGATTCACAGATGTATGCTGTGTTTCTGAGGCACTTGTACAGAACCCAACTGTGGTTAATAAATTGACCTCACCTAGCCGTCGTGGTGACTTGTCAAAATTCACTTTACGAGTATCCGGAGACCAGATGGCCAGCCTTCACAGACTCGCTGGTTTGAGCATTGTATTGAGTTAGCCGTTGCTAGCAATGTCGAGGTCAGAGTAAGGTTACTAGGTAAGGCAGGAAAGTCAGTTGGTGAAGTTGTGGACCTTCATCGACTGAGGTGGCTTGGATATTTTGCGCATGCCGAGCCACCTCCTACCTTGACGTCAATGCTAGAAGAAGTTGAATCTAGTTGGGAGAAAGCTCAGCGTGGCCAGACCAAGAGGTATCGCCAGTTCATGAAGTCTCTGGTTGTTGATCTGTATTATGTAGGAGTATATGGACTACCTGGCTAGGATGACCGAGACGATAGGAGTCAGTGGCGACTCTTGGTGACATGGCTGGAAATCGGTCACATTAGCGCAGATGTATTCTATCTTTGACGTCTTCTTAAGCTCAAAAGTCTTGACTAACATTCACTTTAAAATTTCTCCTCGCATACACTTTTTCTACTTAAGTATCAGTCTTTTTCGGTACACTTATTCTTTATATGCTGCTGTAAAGTGTTGAAACAAACCGTGTGCGAGCTTCTACATTGGTTTTGTTTGCGCTGGATATATTACAGATGCCATAGATGATATAGGTTGGCAAGTGCCAAACAGGCATTCTGTCTCCTAGTTGGGATTTCGTCGGCCAACAACCCAATTCGGCGTATACAGCTTTCCAACTAAGTGGAGTAGAACGACGCATTCCTTCACTTCATTCTCTATTATTCATTCGCTGCTCTATGTCATGAAACTCGTGTTAAAACATTGCAACATGCATGGGAAATTAAAGTATGTGTCTTATGAAGATCGGCTCACCAAAAACCATAGTGACTAGTTTGCATCAAGTTAGGTGACTAGACTCATTGCAATGTGGTGCATTTGATCAGTTTCTAACGATGAATTGAGAACTGGTGGTAAAAGCGATAGTAATCTAGCCCAGCCCACAACCTTATGTTTATACTCTCTTTGGATATCTTGTTAAGTCTTCTAGTGAAATTAACAATGTCTTATTTCATAGTCTGTCGTGTTTTTTTGTTACCGTAGCCTTTTTTCATGGTGTACGTATACAGAAGCCAACATTGGTGTTTTGTCGCGAAAACTGACTTCTGATTGTACTATCGAGGATAATTTGATTTACTCGCTCGTTTTCTTCTATTATCTGTGTATTTAAGGGCATTTCGACCGTAAAAGTTACATGTAATAATATGCTTGGCTTTTGGGTTCGACTTCCTGAAGAGAAGCTTTCCTTTCAAATTAAGGTATATTTTACTCAACAAATGAGTATGTTCTTTCTCTCTCATTGCTTACAGCGTCTTAATTGTGATATGCGATGCGCTAACTTAAGTAGAAACAGAGTTAAATCACGTCTGGCTTTTTTCACGGCGGTACCCCTTAAAACACTGAGTGCTATATACCATTTAAGATTCATAAAACTAAATCTAGACATGTGTTTACGCTACTGTTATTCTGGACTTTCTACCACTGTATCTCCTGTGCAGATTCGCTTCCTGAGTTATAGGTCTTATGATGTTAATTGCTTGAACTGGATAAATTAGATGAAACAAGTTTAATCCTGTAATCCATCGGTCGATAACTCACTGTCGAGATCCATAAACCATAAATTCGCGTAGGTCATTTCATCAGAGCAGAGCTTACGATACTGGACTGTTGCGAAACTTGCAACTTTGTTACTTTTCTATTTGGAAGCATTTCACAGGGAACTCAACGTAGTTTGTTCGCTTACCAGTACCCATCATGGTGTTGAGACTACGGTTCGAATGGGAAATTAACCTTCATTGGAGACCGAAATGCTTGTAACAGAGAAGTACTGAGCGATTTGGATGGCAGTTAACTGGATGCACTCCTGGATCACTGAGACGAAGTTTTCAGCGAACAGCAACCATTGTAGTGGTTCATAGCCTAATACATAAACATGTACCAGGTTGGGTTGCAATATTACTTTTACTAACCAGTGTAGTAAAATGACCATTAGTGTTAACAGTGCAGACAGGTTACAGGGGCGCAGTAATAAGATACATAGTGTCTGTTACTCTCCTTATTTGCATCTGCAAAGTTACACTAGTCTTTTCAAAGCTTTATATACGGCATGCTGATGCATTTAAGCAAACTTGAGACATAAAAAAAAGCCAAGGATTCTTGTAACTTGTATTTGAATGTTTAGCATAAGTTACTGATCTCTAGCATCTCGTCATTTAGTTTTGCCTTTTTTGGTTGATAGGTTTCTGTCAGCATTGGAAAAAATGATTCAGTTTTTTCGACCCATTTTTTGTTATGCTTTACTATGTAAGTGGATTTACTAGCGTTTTTCAATCAATTCAAAGTTCTGCTGTATATTTTGGTTTTTTTCCTCTAAAATATAGCATGCACATGCCCTAGAAGCTCTAAGAGAGCACCTCAAACCTGGTGCACATGCTTTGGATGTCGGGTCAGGTAGTGGGTATTTAACAGCATGTATGGCGCTTATGGTGAGTTTGCTGTATTCTTTGTCTGGAGTAATTAACATATGATAATTTTCGCATGAAATCCATTTGCTATCTAGCCTACTGTTTGCGCAAGAGATTGAATTGATATGTACATATGTAAATATGTTCATTTTATTTCCAACAAATGTGAGAAAATTTATAGCATTCGCAACCTTTTAAAGGTATTCTTATTGAAATAATATGGATTCAAATAATAGTGACGGATCTATAGAATAAACAATAATAATAATGTCGTCATCACTGAGCTGAGGCTCATGAATATAAGCAGTTGATATTCAACCAGTTCGTCATGGGTTCGAACCCCGCCCCATCTAACGAGATTTGGGCAGCCAGGTTGTATCTGTCACTCTTCCTCACACAATAGGCGTGGTTTATTGCCTACTGAGCAGAAGTGCACAGGGTTGCCGAATGCGTTTCGTTTCGTGTCACCACAGATTGTGTGAAAACATGACATCTCATACCACTTGTAAGTGGGTTCCGGTTGAAGATCATAACGAGATCATTTGAGGTTAAAAAATTCAATGATCATAATTTAGGTTGTTAGCTTAAAAGTGGATCCGCTCAGATGCACTTTTCAGTGTTCCATGCAAAGTTCAAGTTAATCTACCCGTGGATGGATTAAATCTTACGGAGGTTTAGTTAAAGGAGTCATCGTGCACCGAAAGTTTTGCTGTAACCAGTAAGGGTTCGCGAACTTATTATATCTTACAGCGAGATGACATGTAGAAGTAGCAAGAGTGAAGGGCAGCTAGGATTCTGTACACAGATTCCAAACACTATGAAGTTATTCACTACTGAAATTGTCTAAACTGTAGTAACTGACATTACCAAGTTACGTAAGTTCATCGAGTGTGCTGTCCACTTCACTTACTTGGAAGTTGGGTCACCTCTCGTGGGCCGGTTACCAACTAAACCACTGCACGAATACAAAGGGCTTACTTGGTCTCCGCCAGCTTACGCCATTTATGACTCCACCGTGATTTCCGATCGCTTATCAACAGCCAAGTGTTAGAGAAGACGAAACACACAGCAATCTTTTCACGTCCGTGTAGTAGGCGGTGAGTCACACCTATTGTGTGAGTGTTAATATTACCTGGCTGCCAAAGCCTCAGTAGGTGGTGTTCAAGTTTATGACCCACCGTTTAAATAGCGACCACCTAAACCAGTGAACCGCAGCTGCACAAAAGGGGATGAGTGTACTGCGCTGCAATTCGCTCTCTTCTACTATATGGCTGGGAACATCACTATTAAGGGTAGAGGGTATGAATAGGTCTCAGGTGTTCGGTCACCGTCACCTCCGTAACATGCCGTGTCTCATGGTGTCGCCATATCAATAACATAGAAGTCCGACATCGTTTTAAGCAGGAGGGGAAGGTTAGTTGATGAGGTTATCAACCTTCATGGACTTAGGTGGCTGGGACATGTGTTACGCATGCCTAGTCACCGTCTTTCACGTTACGTAGTGTTAGTCAAGGTCGGTTTAAGCTGGAAAAAGGTTATGAGAAGCCAGAATAAAACAGAGCATCAACCCATGAAGTCGTTGACTTATGGCCTGGACCGTGTAGGGAGACACAGAGGTCCTGGGATCCTCTTGACAACCGAAATCGGTGATTAAAGATTGTAGACGATATGGCTGAATGGATGAGTGACTCAAATGTGTCCACACACTATCTTCAACTTAGTCATCATAACTAGTTTCAAGCTTTTGTCTTTTCTTGTTTTCTGGTTACATCTTTTCGCCAGTTTCGTTTACTTTCTTCCCTACTTCTCCAAGTATAATTTGTGTGTCTACTTCCTGAACATCCTAGTATAACGTGTAGCAGTAGAGGCCGTTGCGTAGTGATGTCAGGTCCCACATTGATGCTGACTGACTGTCTGAAATTCGTTTTTGAGGTTAGTCAGAAAAGTAGAAGTCAAAAAGATCGCCGGTGAGTCAGTGATCCACTTTTAGATTAAGATACTGTTGGTAGATCTTTATTAAGACTTAACACAGCAATATTGTATAAATAATTTAACTGGTTAGGGTCTTAACATCTGTAACGCTTTCGCGAAACTATATGCTGTTAAAAATTGCTCAGTGCCTAAGTTAATCAATTATTTTCAATTGAAACGAAGGCTAAATTAATAAAGTTAGAGAATAGGAAAGAAATGGTACTTGAGACAATCAGAAATGAACTCGGTTACAGAACTAATGTTTCGATTGGAGAATTCATTGCAGGGATAAACAGAAGAAGTTGCGGTGGGATCTCCAAGGTAGTTTTTAGACATTTGGGAACCAATGACATTAGGAACATTTCAACCCACCCCAAAAATGCGGCAGAGATACATCGATCAAACATTTACTGTATTTAGATCAGAACATATCGAGAGTTCTTTTCACACACCTAAACTCAAGAGTAGGCGCTTTCCTACTTACCTATGAATTAGAAAATTAATGAGAATTATCTGTGTTGGATTGCAAAATAAGGTGAAGAGATCATAGGTCAGATAGCAGGATTTACAGAAAACTATCGCATTCGAATGGAGACTCGGAATTTTCGTCGTCTCACCATCTTTTTCTCAAGCCAGCCATGCTGAAATATTTAGCTATCCCAGTTAAGAGTGACTAGTAAGTCAAAACATGTAAATAAGAAACCTAAACACTACTACTCAGTAACTACCCTTCGGTGTTGATTAAAAAGTATATAAGAACTCATAAGAGGAAGAGCAATAATAATAGTGGTAATTGCAATACGCTTAAGTAGGTATTTAGACACACTATAGTGTTTGCTATATAAAGAAGGGATATCGTAAAATATACGTAGGATTTCTGTCAGTGTTGGAGTAAGGGTGGGATTTAAAGCCACAAAAACTCAGAGAGACACTTTGTAAACCAAAAGATCCTGTAGATCTAGTTAAGCATGGTAACTTAATCAACCCATTACCACTTAATAATTGTGAGGTCAAGTACGTAGGTCAAAGCAACCGATCTGGGTAAGTCAAGATAATGGAGCAGAAAATATTAGCAAAATATCGATGGAGTGACCCTACTTAGATAAGAAATGCAGAAAAAAGCTCCACCATTGCTATGTACTCACTGGCTCTGAATCACACTGTAAGAGAGAGAGAATTCTAAAACCGAATGTAGATAAACTGAAGGAGTGGTGAATTATTGAATCTTTGTTCATTGAAACACTGCCTGACATAGGCAACAAGAATAGTTCATCACACATTTAAGATATTTGAGGATTATACTACCACCAAAATTAAAACAATGAGTTGTTTGAATGTAAAAGAAGGGGCTTGAAAGTTGCATGAATACTTTGATACAATTAGGAGCGATATTTTATGTTAGAAACCGTCATCCGGTAAACCATGATGTATCTGTGTGCTATATCAAATAAGCTAATCTTACAATTATTTGCCAAAAATTAACAATGGAGGAATCAACGTAGCATGCTTTGTTTGAAGACTATTCTGCTGCAAACACCTTTGAAAACCAGGTTAGTCATCAACTTAATTTCGGAGTTACATAAAGTTACAAGTAATCTGAGCTAACCGCATTTTCCAGTCTAAAGTTGGTAATTAATTATTTTGATAAGGATGTCTGGAGTATTGTTAGTTACTCAAAGTTATGTATATGCTTCTCCTGTTGTCAAAGATTGTATATTCAAACATATTCATTCATGTGAAGTGCTACATGGTAGCACTCTCTTGATCTGGTGGTGATGAATGGTTTTGCTCTAGGAAATTTTGCTGTCATCATTGTGGTATAACTTCACCGTCGACATTTCGAAGACCACTTTTCATAGCCAAGTTCTCAATTGCCAACCGTTATACTTTGCGGAATTTTGATCATTCAGAACTCTCTTTGTTATTAAAACAGTCCCGTTACGCAATTGAAATCGAAATGATCCTTGGAATGCTACAGAAAATCTCAGAGTATGTGAAATTTGTTTGGTGCTTTCCGAATGCATTCATGATGAAATTGGTGAAATAATCGATTTTGTTGACTGTCTCATTCATATGATCGGCCGAATTCTTATTGGTGATCTAATCATGAGTGCATAATTAGATGTTTAGTTAGGTCTGAATAAGATGCAGTGCTGGTAACAGCGGTGGATCTGTGGCTTATTGTTTTAGACACTTAACTTTTAATCAATAGCTCATGGGTTCGAATCCTACCCTACCAGCCGAGGTCTGAGCAGTCAGGTGATATTACTAGCCCTTACATACTATTTGTGGCTCATTGGGCAATACATAAATCTGCATATGTGTGTTTAGTCACATCTTTTTTACATTTTACGCCGGTGAGACATCTCATCTGTCTAGTTATCAGTATACGTGATGACACTGATATTTCCTAATATTGGCTGTGGAACAATATTTTCCTTTTAATTATTTGTGCAAAAGTTCTTTCGAAATGTATTAGTGCATCTGGTAAAACCTGCCACGTAACGAATGCTCAGTTGAAGAAAAGGAGGTGATCTGCGATATATTAATAAAACTGTATCTATTAAGTTGGAATACATGTCAGTAATAAGTTATTGCTTATGAAAATGTACGTTGCTGGTTTCGACAATTGGGAAGATTGGTTTTTTTGAGCTTATTCCAGGTTACTATTCTGCAGTGTTATAAGTTGAACCAAATTGTTACTTATTCATTTTCTGTGCTTTCTCACAGTTAATTCAGTTTACTGTAAAATAGTTTCTAACTGTATATTCTGCAAGGAATAATTCATATGTATTTTATTCTGATGGATATAAGATGTTTGTTAATGCAGAACCACCGAAATCCGGGTTATAAACAATGGAGCGCTTTCTGTCTGACTCTTCCTGGCTCCAGCTAGTGGAGAAGACGTTCAGTTGGTGAAACAGTTTATCAACTCAACCTACATAGATTATAACTTTGATATTTATTTATTCTTACTTCGGAGAACAAAATTAATGAAAAATGTATTTAAACAGATGCCAGTCAATAAGGATAATACCAACACATAAGGGTAGCAAAAATGAATTCAACATCAGTAAAAAAACAGCATGGAGGAGATCATATGAGGAAGAAATGAAAGCTTGTGGGCAGTCGTGGAGCCAGGTTCAAAAGACTAAAGAGAACAAAGTGAAATGGAGACGTGCTACTGAAGCCCTACTTTCTACTAGGAACCTAAGGGACAAGTAATAATAATAATAGTAACAATAAATAATAAAAAACGGCATGGATTATTTCAGCTTGAAAATGCAATGTCGCACCTACCTACTTCTTAATTGAAAGAAGGCGCTAAGATGAAAAGCGGTTACCGTTGTAGTGTGAATTTCTACACTATGTTCGGGGTCTGAGGGTGAAGTCGTACTGCTGCTATCTGGATAGGGTGTGACAGCGGGTAAGGTGTTTCCCTTGGACAACCAGGAGAGCCACGCTGATACTGCCTTCCCAACGGTAGGAGGCATTCAAAAAGCTCTTCCCCCAGAGTGGCACACTCCTGCCTGCCTCACGGTCTCCCGGTGCCGGCGGTATGGGTTCTCTCTGTGCAGCGTTAGAACAATTAAACCTCGAAACATCAACCCACAAAAGGCTGTATGTGACAGTTCTTAAGCAGATATTCCATAGGCTCTTCGGCCACACAAATTTTCTCTTTCAGGTAACCTAAGAAGAAATAACCTTCCATGGTGTGCGCATTTGGGAAGCGTCAATCGCCCGCACGCTTCCATTAGTATGCAAGACCCAATCAAACATAGCTTATCCTTCTCAACTCTGTCACCTTATACTAATATTAAGTCTCTTAAACCTTACTCAACCTCTCACTCTGCAACCATTGCCTACGATCCAAGCCATCAAAACCTCATTCGTAATCTCTTAAGATGCTGTCATCAATTTCATGTAGGAGCTTTCATCGTCGGAAGTGTATGCCGAATCGGACAGCAAGTATCGGTCGCCAGAACTCTGAAATCTCTAGACTTGGATGTGTTCTATGTTTCGGAGACACGTATACAGGACTTAGCAATGCTTCATTTACTCAACAACTTGAATGGGACATAAATGTGGGTCCTTCAACTCTCCTTGAAATTGGGAAGGCTGTATAGAACCTGAAACGATGCAAAACAGCTGGACCTGACAGTTTACCATCTTAGGTTTTCAAGGATAGAGATAGGAAATTGCTGACTAGAGTGACGAAGGTACTAAGTACTGTATGGAAATCAGAGGTAGTCCTGTCAGAGTATTCTAGTTCACTAAACACATAAGTTTATAAGAAGAGGGAGAAATCTTCTTGTGACCACTTCACTTACCTGGGGAGTTGCGTCAGCTGGAACGGGCTAGTTGCTGACGAAATCTCAGCTCCCATACAGAAGACCAGTTTGTCATTTGCTAACTGGCATCATCTGTCGCCCTGACTGATGAGATAGAATCTATTGATTATGTATCAAAGGATGAGTATATTGCACTGCACTGGATCCTTTTCTGTGTTGTTTTTCGTCTGTGAGACATGGCGGTTGAAAGTAGAGGACGGATGTTTGATCGTAGGTGTCTAGGTAGCATTACTCGCGTTTGGTGGAATCACCGTGTGAGCAATGTCAAGGTCAGGTGAAGAGTACTAGGCAAGACGGGCAAGTCGATTGACTGAGGTGGTTTGGACATGTACGCTGTATATCGGACCACTCCCTATCTCAACATGCAAAGCTAGAAGTTGGATTAGATCGGGTGGGCTTTGATGGTAGCTAACCGCTATATTGAATTCAGCATGTTCTTACTCCTCTTTCCTCTCTTTTATTTACTACTACTTTTGATTGATTTCTCCTTCTTTCTTCACGTTTCATCTTACTAACTCTGTTACGTGTTATGGTGATATGAAGTATGGGAACCTGGACCGTTACGCAGCAACGTCTGGTTTTATGTTGATATTGATTGATTTGATTGGAAAGGTACACAGTATTAACAGCAAGTGAATCTATAGTTAAAAAAACTGGTGACCTTGGCTATAGTCTTCATCTGTAGCTTCACTCACAGTGTTTCATTAGTACTGCCTATAGGTTCAGGTTTTTAAAGATATTTTTAGAGCAAATTTCACTGAATATAACAAATAAAACCCATAGCATTCATTCCCCTCAGTTAGTCACTTGTATAAAGTAAGTAACATGCAACGAATTATTACTTGATAAGCCAATTAGGCGATTAAGTGGAAATTTGATTAGCTAGTCTACTTATTAAACATAACCTTTTTTCGAATTGTTTATGATCTCACCTTTGTATTGGAGATAAACGGATGCTGCCAGATGAAACATTAGTCGCTAACGTGTTGACTATTATGCGGAATTGTAATTATATACTCAGAGAAAGTTAGCGATGATTGACTGACAGCGGAACTGATGGGTATGATTAAATTTCAAGAAACACATGTTTCACCTTATGGTTTGTTTACTACAATGGGGAAAGCTGGCGATAAAATAGGAAGAGCTTTCAACTTAGGATGGAATACCAAACAGTTTTTGAGGTTGGTTGTTTTTTTGGATACTATCTGTTGTTACGACTATCCTGGAAGAATTTTGAGCGTCAAGTCTGATTTTAATTATCGTATAATAACTCATTTTTAATATAATCGCCCGGATGTTCAGAAAATCAAAATAGGATCTTTCTGAACATTTCGCTTTTTTCAACTTCTGCAGAAATGTCTGTACCATCTATCGTGGTTAGCTTTCAATCACACTTCTATTAGTGCAGCTACACACCGAAAATATTATTCCACTTATCTGCCTTTACGACTCACTATACTGCTCAAAGTATTCTGTTATTTTATGTTTCCTTTTCTTTCTAAGGTTGGTCCTACTGGTGTTGCTGTAGGCATTGAACATATTGATGAGTTAACCCATTTTGCTTTGGAAAATGTCAAAAATTGGATGAATCACAGTAGAATAGCACAGTCAAATGGGATAGAATTGGGGAAGCAGCTCAAATTTATAACTGGTGATGGTCGTGATGGTTGGCCATCTGATGCACCATATGATGCGATTCACGTGGGTGCAGCAGCCCCAACTATTCCTAATGCAGTAAGTTCATATTGATTTTTTTGCTATCTAAACCTTAGAAATGCAAGAAATGTATCAGCAGTAACTGTTGCCTTTTAGTTTGAGCGCTTAAACTGTAACATATCGATATCGAGGTAGCCTCATTTACCAAATAAACGCTTGCCTCTCACTTCAGTATCACTTGCATAGTAATAATATGTGAGCATAATGACAGTTATCAACCACACACTTTTCAGATTTTATCATTTTAGAGGGACCAGATCTTGTGAATATATATCGAAGCACTTCATACGTAATGTTTTACTTTCATGGCAGTCACATAAGTAGTGCAGCTAGACACATGATTCTTCCTTTGTTTGAAGGGAGTTCCTGCTGTTACGCCACATCAAAACTTACACACATACCTGTAGTATTTAAGGTCCCTTCACTACGGTAAAAAAAAATCACGTTTTCTACGTTTCCGTAGGTAATTGTGAAATCTAGCACTTTTAAATTGAAAACATTTATATTTGATCAAAGCCGTTTTTACTGTCGCATACAGTGTTTAAACCGTGTAAGCAATACCAAAGTTTAACAGTGTATTCCTGAATAGCGCAAGTCGTTACTGAGTGCTGAATTAAACAGCTTCGCATTACTTTAATGTTGGCATTTATCCACTTCATCGGCTTTGGACATTGAAGAGATGTTCATTTCACTGCAAGTCAATATTGATTAGAGAATACTTATGCTAGTAAACATTAATCGACCCATGACAACTGCTTTAGGTTGGTTTCAGGCGAACCATAAAGTCAACGCACAACTTCACATGGAGGTGCATCTGTTCAAGTTGTCACACACCATAGAAACATGAAATGAAGAAGTGGTTCGAAAAAGTAATAGACCAAAGTGTATGGGAGAAGAGAGATGCAAATTAATGGAGATGTTCAAACTTTTGAAGATGTTGAAGAGTGAATATATCTGTATCATTATGACCGGTCTTATTTGATTTCACTAAGAGTCTCCATCCACTGGTCTCTGTTATCTCGAGGACTAAAGCCAGTGAGTCTACAACAACCAGAGAATTCATAGGCTAGTATCGTGTCTTTGTCTGGTCACCCTAAACCTCCTTCCAACCCGATTCTACTTCGGCTAAGACTGCACGTCGAGTTAGATTGTGACTTGCTGTGCGCAGCACTACTCAATGATGATTCACAATCTTGTAGATTAACTTGCTTAGTACTCTTCGCCTCACCTCGACATTGTTCACACGATGATCCCATCACATATGAGGACTGTTACGAAAATACTTATGGTCAAAAACCTGTAACCTCTTATCTTTTTTCAGCTTCCAAGTCTCATACCTGTATTACAAGGTACATTGGACCGCAAAGCAGTATACTCGTCTTTTAATAGGCAGTCGGGTATCTCGCTGTTGCCATAGATGACGTAAGTTGGCAAATGCTAAACAGGCTTTTTTTGTCCGAGCTGAGATTTCATCAGCCACTAATCCATTTGAATTGAAGTATATTTTCAAGTTAGTAAAGCGGTCATCACACTCAACTATATCACTACATATTTCGAAATTAAGTAATTAAGATCAATCCTGGAATATCGTCTTACACTTGACACGTGCAAAATGCATGTCAAACACACATTTTTCTACTTTTCGGGTGACTCTGCCTGACTTAGGAGTTCTGGTAATCCTTTCACTAATGTTATTGGAATCACAGTTGGTGTCGTTCGTGGTGTCACTTTTATTTCTGAAAATGAAGTGTGGTTTTGGAATCCATAAATGGTTCGATCATTATATTGTTATTTTTCCCTTGGGTTCCTAGTGGAATATAGGGCTTCAGTAGCACGCCTCCATTGCACTCTGTTCTCTTTAGTCTTTTGAACCTGGCGCTGCGGCTGCCCACAAGCTTTCACTTCTCCCTCATATGATCTCCTCCATGTCACCCTCAGCTGGGGCGCCCAACTCGTCGTTTTCCATTTGGATTCCACTCAAGGGCCTGGCCTAGTGCGTTATGTCCCCAAATGGTCCTCTCAGTATATGCCCAATCCAGTCCATCTCTACTTTCTTCTGTATATTCGTTGCGTGATAGGTTCTTGGTTGGTTCATTCCCAGAGTGAGTTTCTTGTTGCTTATTCTTTCTGGCCATGTGATCTTCAGTATCGAGCCAGCGTAGGCAGTTGTTGATTTTCGTGACTCGCCAAGTTTCTGAACCATATAGCAACACTGACTTGACTGACATTGGTGTTGAAAATCCGGACGTTGTTCACGCTTCATGCTGAGTACAGTAGGTCTTCACACTGATTTCAAATTAATGAAAGCCTGTCTTGCTGTCTTTCCGATCCTGGCTTTGACGTCCTCATCTGTACTACCTGTATTTAAAACGATGGTGCCTAGGTGGGTGAACAAGACAACTTCCCTTAGGTTTCTCCCGTTAGTGGTGATTGGTGCTTGTTGTTAATGTTGTTGTTGGTTGGGTATCTTCATCACCTCTGTCTTCTCTACGTTCACTTGAAGTCCCGTCTTCCTTCGCTGTTCTGCCTCTTCTGTCAACTTGTTTGTTTTCGCCTGTAGATCTTAGGGTTTGTGCGACAAGACATTAGGCATAAATCATCATCGGCGAAATCCAAATCTTCTAGGCTCTTTTCATCGGTCAAGCCAGCGTATGTCCATCTTCTCGCTCCTCATAGTTTGTTGCATGATCTGTTCCAGTCGACCCCAATCAGGAAGATGATGGGTGATAGTAGACAGCCTTATCTTACTCCTGTCTTCACTTCTAAGGCATCACTGAGCTTTCCATTGTAGATCACTTGGCATGTGGTTTTTTCATATAACTGTTGAATGAGGTATCGTAAGAGGCAAAAGCTGCAGTGGTAAGAAAAATCTCAGTGTATGACTATTTTGTTGTGTTCAAGAACTACTGTTATGAACTGTCTTTCTATTGGTGTATATCTTGCTTTCCTTTATTATGGTCATTGACAAATAATGAACTAATATGACGGAAGAAATAGACTATTATGGTGATTCACTTTGATGGCTTGAGAAATGTTGGTCGTCAACCAAGTAGTGTACATAGGTTTTAAGAATACGAAGAAACGAGGGATTTATAATCCATAAAAAGTCAGCCTATTGCTAATTTGGATTGTGTAGTAGTCCAGCTGTTTGAACTAGGGAGTAACAATCCTTCGTTACAGCAACCACCTACTTCACCTTGAGGTTTGTTTGTTCTAATGCCGAATAGAGAGAGAGCCCTTACCTATGGATGGCATCGGAAAACCGTGGGGCAGGCAGGAGTGTGCTATTTTTGGAGCTGATCTTTCCAACCGCGCCTTCCCGTTTGGAAGGCAACATTAGCATGGCACTCCTAGTCATCCAAGGGAAACACCTTACCGCTGTCACACCCTATCCAGAAAGCAGCAGTACGACTTCACCCTCAGACCCTCATCATAGTATAGTAATTTACATCACAATGGTAACTGCTTTTCGTCTTACTGCTATCCAGCAGACCTTCCCCGGAATGGTAGGACTTTTAGGGAAGAAACGTTCCAACCAGTGTCCATCATTGGGTCATTGTGATACGCAAGCCTGACCACTACGTCGAGGTAACAGGTATCACTCTTTTTCTATCCATTTGTGTTTTGTATCCTACTGTGAAGTGTGGCAACTTGAACCGAGGTTCTACGTTGATTTTATCAGCCAATCATTCACTTCATATTCGAAACTAGAGTAAAACCAGAGCTTTAGCGTAATGTGTTACGAGGGAAACCCATCCTTTATGACAAATAATAGTGCAATTAAACTCGATACATATGTTTATGTACTGTATTATGAACCAATCTAGTTGTTTGAGGGCTTATCATACTACCTGGTTGTCCAGGCCGAAGTAGCTGAAGTTGGGTTTGTGCTCCCAACCCGTTTGACTTAAATTCAAGTTCTTAATCCACTTATCTTACCCTTTAGTGTAAGTGGTATATCGATCCTTCATGTATCAGATAAACAGTGGTCAATCATTATTAAAAAAAACTAGTCTAGTAATTGAATCTTACACCTACTGTACTCACTGTTTATTTTTAAAAAAACTTGTCACTTTGTAGTCTATTTTTTGCAGATCAAAATATATCCAACGAAATAATCGTGATATCTTATTCTTCAATCTACTTTTTTTTCTCCTTTCATGTTTGTATGTCAGTTAAAAGAGCAATTGAAAATTGGTGGTCGTTTAATTTGTCCTGAAGGGCCTGAAGGCGGGAATCAAGCTTTAATTCAAATAGATCGTTTATCGGATGGTTCATTTCAACGTAAACCTCTAATGGGTGTGATTTATGTTCCATTGACGGATAAAGATCGACAAATTGGACCAAGGTAAGGTTTACGAATATGTGCTTACATGTGTATACATTTGTGTCAGAACAGTGTTTATGTTTATTGATGGTTGATAGTTGTGAGGTGTCTATTCACATAAATTTGCGAGTCAATTTTTGTACAAATATACTGAACTCGAATTGTCTTACTTCTTTCTGATATTCTGCTGTTGTTGATTATCTCAAGTTTGATATTGAGTTAGGTGTCTAGCTCAGGAAACAACTTGTTTCATGCATACATATGTTAATCTGTTGATATTCAGATTTATATTAGTTGTTTGAGGATAAGGAGGCTGTGAGCCTGTATTAATCCTTTTCCAGTAGATTTCTGTGCTTGTCCAATCTCCTTTTGAAAGATTCAGTTGATGATGTGGACACAACTTCTTCTGAGAGTCGGTCCCAGGAGTTGATTACTCGATGCGAAAACCAGTACTCTGTGGAGACTATGTTCTTTCTTCGCTCTTGTCACTTCCTGCTATGTCCTCTGAAGTGTTCCTACCTAATGGGAAGGAAAAGAGAAGATAGATCAGGCCCGAAGTCATTTCTTAGAATCTTATGTAGCATGATTAGGTCTCCCCTCTGTCTGCAATAGGACAAAGTGAGGAGGTTAAGCTCCTTAAGTCGGTCTTCATAGGTGAGGGCAGTCATCTCAGGGATCATACGAGTGACTGCCATCTGAACTCTTTCCAGAGGGTCTGCGTCACCTTTCAAACAAAGATTTGCCGCCTGTGTACAGTTTTCTAATTTAGACCCAAGTAAGGATGTGTATAAGGTGGTGAACATATCTCCACTTATTTTTGTAAACGTTCTGTGTAATGCCCAAAGTGTCCTAAAACTCCGAGCTGCTACCAATCGACAATGTGTCGTGCTTTTCAAATCATAACTCACTATGACTCCTAGGTCACTGTGGGTCAGTACTCACGGTAAAGGAAGTCCCATCAATATCGTAGGCGTTGCCATATATGTGCTCCAATGTGCATGCTCACAGATTTACCTGCGTTGATAGGCATCAGACACTTCTCTAACCAGGCAAATAAGCTGTTTAGGTCTGCCTGAAGTGCACATATATCCTCTTCGTTCGTAATTCCCTGCCAGATTTTTATATCATCAGCGTAGAGAACCATAGGGGATTTCGTGATATTTGGCAGCTCATTAATGTATAAGAGAAATAGCAGGGGACCTAGAACTGTGCCTTGCGGCACTCCACTCTCTACCAACTTCCAAAAGGAAAGTTGAGAATCGATCCTTACTCTTTGTCTATTTCCAACGAGGAACTGTCTTATCCATGCAGGCAGACTGCCGGTGATTCCAAAACTTTCCAATTTCCCGAACAACCTGGAATAAGGTACCTTGTCGAACACCTTACTAAAGTCTATGAAAATGACATCAACAGGTATCCTATCATCTTTAGACTTAACCCAACTTTCTCTGACTGTAAGAAGGTTCGTCAAGCCAAAGAGATTTTTGCAAAAGCCATGCTGCGAACGAGACAATAGAGTGTTGCTCTATAACTGAACTGTGACGGCTTTCTTGATTACTCTTTCTAGGATTTTTATTACAGTACAAGTCAGACTTACCGGTCTTTAATTTGATGGGAGCTGCCTAAAACCTGCCTTGTAGATGGATAGGACTATCGCATCGTTCCAGTCACAATTAAAAAACACAATCATTCTTATTGCCTTTTTAGCATATACAGATTTATTGTTTCAGTTTGAATCCATGGTATTTTGATTTTTACAGTATATATACCTTGGTAGATGTCTGATCTATGGCCACATTAGCACGACATCATATTCAAAATTGTGATTTAGACTAAACTTATGTCGTGAATGAATTGATATAGGTCTCAACCATGTGACAATATAGGACTTTTTGATTGGGGCTAGTAAGATGTTAGATATTAGGTATTGAAATGGTGGAGAATATTTGTAACTCGAGTGGATGGTCTTGGTTGTACTGGGTTTTCTGTGCTGGGTTGTTTGGTCGACTAAACAACCCAGCTCAGAGAACAATGCATATCATGAGTTGTGTGATGACTGAGTTACTTTTCAGTATCGTGAATTAGACTAAGTGGGTTATCTAAACAGACCATCCTTCGGTCTTTTTTCGTAGCCTTTTTCACCAGGCAGCGTAGAAACGTTAGGAGTTGTTTCTCCATAATGATCAGTGGCCAGAATTATGGATTCATACGCCTTATGTACTTTGGAGATCACAAAACGCGTGTGCACCACTTGTTAAGAATCAGATTGCTCCAACTTCTGTGGCCGTCGATCTTGTGGTAATCATTGTACATCCTTTGTCGTTCTTATGTTATTGAAACAATTCCATCATCTTATGATAATCAACAAGACTTTACCGTTAGAAATTATGAACTAATGACAACATTTCAACAGTAAAAGGGGACTTTATCTTCGGACATTTTAGGGCGTTTAAAAGGTAGAAAGGGAACTATGGTATGAAATTATTTTCTTACTTTGAACTGTTGCTTATGTTAAAGGTTATCCATTGCTATTTGGTTTGAGGCAATCGATAGGACCTAAGTTTTGTACTTGTTTGCGCTCGTCAGCAAGGCGTATCTACAACCTCGAAGGAACTGATGTCCCCTGTGAGATTCGAACCCGCGTCACCCAGGGTTGCATTCAGCTACGTTTCTACTTAGTTATTCTGGCCGCAGCTGACCTGTAGGACTGGACTAAAGATGTTGACTAGTTACTGGAGAGCACCCAATCTCATGTTATGTGGTCCTGAGTGCTGACCGAATCCTATCGATCATTTTACAATGAGGTTACCAAGCTAAGGGGCTCACCATCGTGGTTTGTTTGTTGGTTAGAGGCAGTCGACAGGAATCCATGAACCTAGATTTCGTCCTCACTGGGACTCTTCGGCAAGGTATTCATTCTAACTAAATGTTAGTGGAGTAGTTAAGCACATTGACCAATTCAGCTGCAAGGGTAGTTGTATTACGCATTATCACCTGGTGGTGGTCAACAAAACTCGAAATACTTTCAGAAGTCCTAGTTAGCATTTTCTAAGCTAAGCTACCTTCGAAACAGTTAATTCCTTCTAATACACATATCATAGTAAGAAGACAAACTTAATTTAAGAAATGTAATGCATTGGCACAATACATTTCGAACAACATATTTGCTTGTCAAGACATTTCATATGAAGAGTGAAAATACAATGGGGTCAGTCAGATAAGGTAAGGTTATTGAAAGTGACTAAGGTAACAAAAGGTTTGTAAATAATAGGATGATAAAGAAGCAGTAACATATTTTCAAATCAATCTGATTGCTAATATCAGATAAAGGTTACTAGAGAAAGTTAGCAGTAAAGTTAAATTGTTTTGGATTACAAGAAGGTGGGTTTTAGTTTCGTGTTAATTAGGCCTCAATGAACCTAAGGGCTGGATAACATGAAACTAGTTACTCTCCTATGACCGGTCAAGCAATCTAATCTAGTCCTACAAGAGATCAATCATGATCTGAATAACAGGAAAGAATGTCACAGGGAATATCAACAGTCTTAGTGAATGAAGAGTTTACGTTAAGATAATGCGGTGGGTTCGAAAGAAAATTCAAGTAATAGGTCTTTGGTTAGCACAAAGGCTAAGTGCGATCAGAAACCACTTATTTGACTTTTTTCTTAAGGATGTATTTGAAGCTTATTACTACTGAAATGAAATGTCAGTTTTCTTTGTGACTAGATTTCCTTGAATAAATTTTCATTCCCATTACCTCAGATTTAAAAGAGCTATTGCTACTATTCACTGATAAGGTTCACTTCACTTTTGAAGACAAACATTTTTGACTGTACAAGCGTACAGTCTTATGTAATTTCTTGTCCTCCCTAAGGAGATACAAGGAGAGAGCTGTGAATAAAGTGGATGCTCAGTGTCAGTTGCATATTAGAATTTAAATGTCTGTGAACGATAGTGTTAGTTAGTTGAGCCAGAGAGAAAGCATTCACCTTACTGACAGTTTTCAAAGCTCTACATAACACAACTCCTTTTTTAGTAGACCAAGAAAAATCAACGGGGAACAATAAAGAAGAATAGGTAAAATACAAGAATGAATAAATTGTAAAAGTAAACGTTTAGTTACACCATAAAGTCCCAGTTTCTTTATGTAGTACGTTAAACAAAAGATTTTCTTGGAAGTCAACAAAATATGAGACGACCGATAAAATTCAGTCCAAGATAATTAACTCTCAATTTATTTTCTACAGCAGTACCATCAATGCAACAAAAGTCATGGGGCTTAAGCAACTTACACAAGTCTTGCTTATGCCTGAGACTAGAATTAATAATCTGACATTTAGAAGTGTTTAGCTTGAGACCATTTGAGAGAGACCACTGATATATTTCAGACATTATTATTATTATATTATTTGTCTCTTGGGTTCCTACTGGAACACAGGGCTTCAGTAGCACGTCTCCATTGCGCTCTGTTCTCTACAATCTTTTGAACCTGCCTCCACGACTGCCCACAAGGTCTCATTTCTCCCTCATATGATCTCCTCCATGTCACCCTCGGACGCCCAACTGGCCGTTTCCCATCTGGGTTCCACTCGAGTGCTTGGTGCATGATGTCCCCAAATGGTCTTCTCAGTGTATGCCCAATCCATCTCCACTTTCTTCTGCATTTTAGACAGGAAACCATTTAGTCCGGATTAATCTAAATGAGACTTAACTGGCATAAAAACAGTCGGCCATCAGCACACCTAATAAAATTAGTTTCAACAGAATAAGGTGAATTATGCAAAAAGAACGAAAACAGAAACGAATAAAGTACTGCTTCTCGAGGCGAACCGGCTTCAGTAAGCAATAAAATGGAATTCTTCCCTTTATAAAGAGTATACTGTTTCTTTTCAGAGAAATAAGAATAAAGCCACTTTCTAACCCATGGCTTAGTATAATCTATGGCAGGATTATTAAACAGGAATGATTTAGGAACAGAGTCAAAGGCTGATGAGTAATCCTAAGAAGAAACAACGAACATACTTAACACCTTTGTCTATACTTAGTACTATGACGCAAGACAGTGGCAATGATGGTTCAAGCACAAAAGACGTAATTTCTGCACTGTCTTCAAAAAGGGGGAAGTAATAGCGTTGGGTCGAAACAGCATCTGATCCAGATGATTTAGTCATAGGTAAAAATTTAATCTTCTTCCAAGAAGCGGGTATTGGATTTTCGGAAAACGATGCATATAAAAATATCTCTAAGAGGATGACATCTAAATACATTACTCGAAATACCATCAGAATCTGGTCTTTGGGATGGATTCAAGGACTTAAATAAGTCATTTGTATTAAAACCAGGAAAGCAACTAACCATTTGACTGTGGACACTAGAAAGTATGAAATCAGCTTGCCGTTATATAGATGACTGGTTTAACGCGCAAACGCTAGAACAAGTTCCTTTTGTTGCCTTTTTTTTCTATCGGTAAGCTTTTTGAATAATTTCCATATATTGAAAGAGTTCTGGTTAGGCATCACTATCAAAGCAGGATGGATCTAATAAAAGGAAACTGGGCATTTCATTCTCATGCCGCAAATTATAGTGATATAGGACAAAGTACGTATATATTTATAAGTTTCAAGATAATCTTGCCGATGAACCATTCAGGATGTAAGTTAACCTTATCAAATTAAAGTTTTTACGAGGATCCAATCATTTTTTTCAAGGATATGCGTAGTTTTTATTATTTATTTAGGGCGCATTTTTTAAAAAGGAAGTAGTAAACTTTTACTAGATAGTATATCGCATGGTTTAAGAACATATTTTGGTGTTTCTACTTTCTTCCTCTGTTTACTTTGTTTCTTTTGTCCTCTTTTCCTTTTCTTTCCCTTTCCTTTATTTTAATGTAGGATATGGCGTTGATCTCATTCGATCACTCACTACTGCTGTTTCTGTTGTCTTTTTTCTGTCTTTCCCGTGCATAGATATAAATTAATGTCATCAATGCAATTAAAACTTATACCTAATAGTAAAGTATCCATGTCTTACTGTATTATTACCGTTGTTTCATTCATATCATTTTACTATTGATCATGAGTGCTCATTAGTGTTGACTTTTGGTTAATCACATATATAATTTCCACACCCTCTCTCTCTTGGGGGAAGGTGCAATTCAAACTTGCCAAATTGTTACTTTCTGAATAGATTATCACTTATTTTGCTTAAACAATTTGTGCATTCAATTTTCAATGCTTATTCTAATGTCTATTTAAGCTAAGAGTATATTCATTGAAATGACTTTTCTGCTGCTTGACTGATTTTACCTCCTACATAAGTCATTGAATCATCTGTTGGCTTCGCTTGAGTATTTAATTTTGATGCAGATTAATTATACACATAATCATCTATATTATTTTTTTTTATATCCCCCGCTATATGATCTCTCCCGTCCTATTGTATATTTTCATGTGCTTGCATGTATGTGTGTTCAAGTTTATACCTTCATGCAGAAGGGAAACACAGGTGTTTCGTTTGGTGTTACGTTTTGTTTTCATTCGTTTGAATCTGTAGCACAGCAGCTGAAAGATAGTTGAGTTTCAGCTGTTGAATCATAGTTATGTTTTCGTGGGTGGATGTTGTTACACCAAGTAAGTTTCTGACGGAACCGTTGCTGGTTTCATGGGTTACGGAACTTGAATATTAGCCTTTTAAGTTTTCAGGGTTTTATTTCCACTCCATCTTCAAAATTTGTGTAATCTGATGGTATTTATAACTCTCACAAATAAATACTTTTGATTTGAAGCAAAAAGCTTTACTTGGCAGGTTTCAGGTGTGTTACCACCCGTCAATGGGGTATATATATGCAGCCTCAAAGAAACTGATGTCCTCTGAGATATTCACAGCGACGTCACGCAGTGGTACAGTCACACACCTTACCACTTCACTATTCTTTCAATGTACCATTGAATCCTGGATAATGTTAGTGCACTCAATGCGTTTATTGTTCAACCGTCTGGTCATTTGAATCGTAGATTTGCACAGTTTTCACGTTCATTATGCCATTGTTTTACGTAGGTAATTTAGCCTCTTTAACATTTTTCTATCGCAATAATTTTCAAAGTGTATCTTCCGCACAACATAATTCTTGTTTTAACAACTTTACAGTATCCTAAAACTGTTCTACCTCACGTTTTAATCTAACAAGAAATAGGAATGATAAGCTGTATTATGAGAAAGTGAAACAGTCTTTCAAAATAAATCGACATTAGAGGAACAAAAAACTAATACTGAAGCACAATCTGATCTTGCAATGAAAGCAAAAATACGCTCATCCGGAAGGCTAATACATTGAATAAAATATATACAATGTCACGTAGTTATCGCTAGTAGTGAAATCAACCTAGGACGTTGCGTACAACTGTATGACTCCAATTTAATACACTTCACAGTAGTATACAAACAACATGTGGATTGAAAAAGAATGATATCAAAGTAGATAAAGTTGTGTGAGAGAACAAACAAACTGGAGATGAAGGTTAGTGCGAATATTCAAGCTTTAAAAGATGTCAAAAGTGAAAACATCTGCGCCACTATGACTGATTTGTAACCGTGTCATCAAGAGTCCTCAATCACTGACTCCTATCGTCTCGACGACTCCAATCACGCAATCTACATCTCAGACCAACAGTCAGAGACTTCATCGACAAATGTCACATCTTCGTCTGGTCACCCTTAACCCTATTCCAACCTAATCAAACTTCTCTAGCACAGCTCGTCGACGAAGCAGTGGCTCGGCATGCAAACTACATATTCAAGCCACATCAGTCGACGAAGGTTAACAACCTCAACAATCAACTTGTCTTTCACCCTTCGCCTGACCTCAACACTGCTCACACTGTGATTCCACCAAACGCGAGTAATGCTACCTAGACACCTATGATCAAACATCCGTCCTCTACTTTCAACCGCCATGTCTCACAGACGAAAAACAGCACAGAAAAGGATCCAGTGCAGTGCAATACACTCATCCTTTGATACATAATCAATAGATTCTATCTCATCAGTCGGGGCGACAGATGATGCCAGTTAGCAAATGACAAACTGGTCTTCTGTATGGGAGCTGAGATTTCGTCAGCAACTAGTCCGTTCCAGCTGACGCAACTCCCCAGGTTAATGAAGTGATCAATGCATTCCACCACTTCAATCACTCTCATTAAATTGGGAGTACTAGTAACAGACCACTCCTGGATTATCACCTTACATGTGATAAGTGAGAGATGCGTGCAGCCAAACATATTCAATTTTTTTCTCAACGTGTTCAGAAGACCCTGCATTTCGTCAATGTTTTCATCAAACAGGACAATATCGTCTGTATACTTCAAGTCAACCGGTTGACTTTCGAGAAGTAGATCAATCCCTGTGAAGTCAAACCTAACTAAGGTCATGTATTTTAAGACGTCTAATAACGAAGTTAATTAGGAACGGTGATAGTGGGCATCCCTGACGGACATCACTGGTTATTGTGAATTCACATAACAACTCTCCATAACCCTTACATAGCTGTATGAGTTTGAGCAGAGAGCTGTGATTAGCTTTATCTACTTTCTCGGTATTCCCTTGACAATCAGACATTGCCACAACACTTTACGGTTGACTGATTTTAATGCCACCTTCAGGTCAAGAAATATCGCAAGTGACAGCGATTGACTGGTAGGTATATCTATATTCCAGAACTTGTCGTAAGGTGAAAATCTGGTCTATGCACCCTCGAACACCTCTGAAACCTGCCTGCTTTTCGCGAGTTTGTTGTTGTCGAGCTCCAGTTAGGTGTCGGATAACTATGGATCCTAGGGTCTTGGACACAATAGTAGTCAAGCTAATTCCTCTATGGTTGTCACAAGAAGATTTCTCTGTCTTCTTATAAACTTGTGTGATCAGTGAACTAGATCACTTTGACGGGACTACCTCTGATTCCCATACAGTACTTAACACTTTCGTCACTCTAGTCAACAATTTCCTATCTCTGTCCTTGAAAACTTAAGATGATTAACTGTCAGGTCCAGCTGTTTTGCGTCGTTTCATGTTCGATACAGGTGTTTTGACTCCAGGGAGAGTTGAGGGATCGACACCTACGTAGATGTCCAAAAAATGAAGCATTGCTAAGAGCCAGTTGAATTATGCTTCAAATTGTTCTTCCCAACGTTCTAGCCGCTTGTCTTGAAAGGTCAACAGCGTTCCATGATACTTGGTGACGGTTTCATTTTCCGTTGTCTTCTTGTCGTTATGCAGGAAAAAATGTTTCGTCGTGGGTTGTGCTGATTGGCTCTGTGCACCTAATTACTCACTGTTCAACGGAATAACCGGGTAGATATATGTGTTCTAGGCTTTTATTTACAGCTGAATATTTGGTCAGCATTAGGGATTTCGTCTGGTTTTCTAAACTTTGAAATGTACGGCGGCTTTCGAATACATGACTGACAGGTTGAATGCTCTTTGCAGTGACCCACATGTGTTTGGCAACATACATGCATGCTATTTTGGGAATTGATTTTCTCACTTGAACTCCAACTAATCGCTTCACATCATAGAGCTATCCATCAAGTTGTTTAATAAGCTATAATACCCACTTGTTATCCAGTGAATATTAAGTAGTTGTCATTAAGGAAAGGAAATTGCTTTCGTTGATTTTCAAGACACGAATTCATCCAATCACTTTGGGATTGTCAATTGTTTATGTGAATATGTTTACACTTACAATCTAGTTGTTTGAAATAAATGTCCACTGTTCTGTCAGCAATTTATCTGTTCTCTATTCCAGTGCAGAGTGAAGGATTTTATAACCTGTTGGGACTATTATTGATGGTTCAGTGGGAAAAAAGTTTGTTCCATTATATGTGTAAAGTAAATGTTAAGCTCCTTAATTTAACCAAAGTAAGATCGTAGTCACATCTTTATTGTCACAAACTATCTATGTAATGGTACATGGTTGTACTGTTCATCTGTTCTTATCATCGTTGTTATTCTTGCGTAACTCTTAGTGGGATGCTTAGTGAAGGAGTTATGGATCATAACTGTTCGCAAGGACTTATTTTACCGTACGACAATATACATATACTTAAATGCTTTCGTAACAGAAAGAGGAATGTGCAAAAGTCTGTGTCTGCTTTGACTCCATCATGACATTAGTTTAAATGTCCGCTCAACTCCTGCTGTACATCTGAGTTGAGAATGTTTGACGACTTTACTGGAGAAATCTCGCAACCATTTTGGTGACGCCTAGGTAGCTTAATGGATACTGTTGTGGACTAAGTCACATCTGGAAACAAAGACTGCTTTGATTTAAATGATTTTCACCCACTATGAGTGACTTCTATATAGTATAACGTTTATTCCCTGCCGTTATGTGAGAGGTTGCAGAAACATGATCCACTTTGGGATGAAGAGTAGTTTTTTCGGGCTTACATATATGGTTGCTTCATCTAGAATCATTGAGTGGCATGCGTGTGGTTTTATGATCAAATGCTGCAAACATAATCAGATATAGTACTGAATGGAAACTCACGGCTATCATGCTATAATCTCGTATCTTGTAACATGAGAAAATAATGCACAACTATCGACAAGAATTAAAACTTTCTGCTTTTGTTTTGCAAAATTTCATTCTTCTCAGTCTTCGCATTTCTATGAATTGTTGATATTATTTCCGTTTTTCATCTTTCCTCTGGTTGCTTTGTACCTTATTATGGTAATATGTGAGGTGTAGTCCAGTGTTGATAATAAGTGATTGACCAATGCTACGTGAGCTGGAGTAGTTACAACGGTGTTGTAAATGTTCACTGTAGTCGATATAACTGGTCCTAACTTCAATTAGAGTGTCATCTTGGATCTTATGATTAATAGAGTTCGGGAATTACTAAAAACGCTTGTTCTACCTATTGCTATATCCTCATTGGTCTCCTACTACCGCTAACATCACACCGACTGACTAAAAGAGAAGAAAAGTGTATTCAGTCTGCCCATATTGAATCATAATTTATTCTTAGCAAAATGTTCAACGTCTCAAAAAGTAAGTGGTGTCATCAGGATATGAGCAAATGAGAACGAAAGAGAGTGGAGATGAGGATACTCATTATTGACTGTTTGTTGCTCTTGTTCACCTAGCTTAAGTCATATGTTTATAAAGGATATTAGGCTATTCGTTTTGTAGGTTTAACAAAAATCGATAGTTGAAGGAACTGCATGCTAACTGTCTGGATCAAGTGGTTTTTCAAATTCACCTCTATCAAAAGCCTTATACTTTATGAACCTCGCATATATTTTTCACATATTTTATGCACAAATCATGCATGTGACCTGTTGCACAATTTTTACCTCTCAACCTCGTATAATGTAACAAGCCATCCTTGTATTTTCCATTTTATAACACAATAGTTCATAAAAATGAAATAACTAATATCACCCTTAGATAATGGAATGGGTACAATAATTGATTACCATTTGACTATTTGAGATAGCCGTAGTTTGGCAGACTAGTACTGGATGATGATTGAAGATGAAGTGAAAATTTGAACCACAGCCGGACTCGAACCAGCCACCGCCGGGTTTCCAGCTCAATACTCCACCAGCCAGTGGTCTCTGGTTCGAATCCGTCCGCGGTTCAAATTTTCATTTTGTCTTAAATCATCACCCAGCATAAATAATTAATTTCACTAAAAATATAATTTGGAGCCATAAGTCATACAGAAATGAGTGAAGGTCAACCAAAAGCTCTTGGATTGAGCTATGCAGTAGTGCTGTCAAATAAGTCATGTAAAATATCTTAAGACAAATGATGTATTATAGCCAGTCATGTTTTCCTTTATTTGATCGGTACAATAATGTGCTCAGATGATTGGAGATCGATGCTAGCCTTACAGATGCATTCATACATTGTCCTGTAATGGAAACTGGTAAATCCCCGTCGAACCTGTCAAGGAAGTTACCACACTTGATAGAGCAGCATACCGAAAATAGGTGCACAGAAGAATAATGACATTAAACTAGACAAAATTCTATGACAAGGGAAAGAGAAAATAGATGGATTGCGGTTAATGAAAATGTTCATGACTTCAAAAATGTCACGGGGTATAAATCTGCATGATAATAATCGATTTTAAGCCATGTCAATGATCTCGCTGTTTTAATCCTACCCTCTTGCGGATTATATTCATTTGAGAAATTTTACGAAATTCTAAAAGTAGACGATCAGGTTGTTGTATTGCGTAACGTCTGTTCTTCAATTAGGCACACAGTTTAGATAAGTAATTTCTGAATAGGTCGATGTTTGTGGAAATTGTTCTTACTCAAGTAACGCAATATGTGAATATGTTTTACAGCAAGTGAGAATTAAGGTGTGCATACTTAGTCATATTTACCGCATAAGAATGATAACGAAGATGCTTTTTATCATTCATATGTGGTGTAATAGTGAAATGCCAATTCTATAGATAAGTTTGACTTCACAGGGATTGATCTACTTCTCGAAAGTCAACCGGTTGACTTGAAGTATACAGACGATATTGTCCTGTTTGATGAAAACATTGACGAAATGCAGGGTCTTCTGAACACGTTGAGAAAAAAATTGAATATGTTTGGCTGCACGCATCTCTCACTTATCACATGTAAGGTGATAATCCAGGAGTGGTCTGTTACTAGTACTCCCAATTTAATGAGAGTGATTGAAGTGGTGGAATGCATTGATCACTTCATTAACCTGGGGAGTTGCGTCAGCTGGAACGGACTAGTTGCTGACGAAATCTCAGCTCCCATACAGAAGACCAGTTTGTCATTTGCTAACTGGCATCATCTGTCGCCCCGACTGATGAGATAGAATCTATTGATTATGTATCAAAGGATGAGTGTATTGCACTGCACTGGATCCTTTTCTGTGCTGTTTTTCGTCTGTGAGACATGGCGGTTGAAAGTAGAGGACGGATGTTTGATCATAGGTGTCTAGGTAGCATTACTCGCGTTTGGTGGAATCACAGTGTGAGCAGTGTTGAGGTCAGGCGAAGGGTGAAAGACAAGTTGATTGTTGAGGTTGTTAACCTTCGTCGACTGATGTGGCTTGAATATGTAGTTTGCATGCCGAGCCACTGCTTCGTCGACGAGCTGTGCTAGAGAAGTTTGATTAGGTTGGAATAGGGTTAAGGGTGACCAGACGAAGATGTGACATTTGTCGATGAAGTCTCTGACTGTTGGTCTGAGATGTAGATTGCGTGATTGGAGTCGTCGAGACGATAGGAGTCAGTGATTGAGGACTCTTGATGACACGGTTACAAATCAGTCATAGTGGCGCAGATGTTTTCACTTTTGACATCTTTTAAAGCTTGAATATTCGCACTAACCTTCATCTCCAGTTTGTTTGTTCTCTCACACAACTTTATCTACTTTGATATCATTCTTTTTCAATCCACATGTTGTTTGTATACTACTGTGAAGTGTATTAAATTGGAGTCATACAGTTGTACGCAACGTCCTAGGTTGATTTCACTACTAGCGATAACTACGTGACATTGTATATATTTTATTCAATGTATTAGCCTTCCGGATGAGCGTATTTTTGCTTTCATTGCAAGATCAGATTGTGCTTCAGTATTAGTTTTTTGTTCCTCTAATGTCGATTTATTTTGAAAGACTGTTTCACTTTCTCATAATACAGCTTATCATTCCTATTTCTTGTTAGATTAAAACGTGAGGTAGAACAGTTTTAGGATACTGTAAAGTTGTTAAAACAAGAATTATGTTGTGCGGAAGATACACTTTGAAAATTATTGCGATAGAAAAATGTTAAAGAGGCTAAATTACCTACGTAAAACAATGGCATAATGAACGTGAAAACTGTGCAAATCTACGATTCAAATGACCAGACGGTTGAACAATAAACGCATTGAGTGCACTAACATTATCCAGGATTCAATGGTACATTGAAAGAATAGTGAAGTGGTAAGGTGTGTGACTGTACCACTGCGTGACGTCGCTGTGAATATCTCAGAGGACATCAGTTTCTTTGAGGCTGCATATATATACCCCATTGACGGGTGGTAACACACCTGAAACCTGCCAAGTAAAGCTTTTTGCTTCAAATCAAAAGTATTTATTTGTGAGAGTTATAAATACCATCAGATTACACAAATTTTGAAGATGGAGTGGAAATAAAACCCTGAAAACTTAAAAGGCTAACTATTTGGCATGTGTTTTATTTATGGCAACTGGAAAAACTACCCAGCCAGTTGAATCAAAGTGTTTTTTTAAAAAAAAAATTGATTATTTTGTTTTAGATTATAAACTACATAAGTGTAAGGTTGTTACTACTTTTTAACGAACATTAGTATGGATTTTTACGGATCTTATACCAACCTGATAGAGGCAAAGGCCAATCACTAATTATACCAAGAAAGAAGACAATAAAGTGACCAGGTGGAATAGTATATGTGATAACCCGTGCCAAAATACTGGTGGATTCCGACTAACTGGCTAAAGGATCACATACAAACAACGCAACGTAATCCGACAATATACCAAAATGGCACAGTTGCTTGACCGTATGTATTTGTAACTTAACAAGTTCGTAAAAACTACAAAGGTCAGCATCAATGTTGAATCTTGTCGAACTCTACTGATTTTGAGGAATTGTTCGCCTTTATAGATTTTTCTCCCCTCTACATAGTAGTGTAAGTTTCATGTCAGTACTAGTCATTTGATGATTCCCTCAAGAACAAAAGAAGCACCCGAAGCCATGGATGTGATGAAATACTTTTTGCCAATTCTCTACAGTCTGTACACTTATTACTAAATATACTGTATCGGGATCACTGTGCATAGTTATATTTTCACATATGATGATATTATAGTGTATAAACCTTTATAGGGATTTTAATGAGTTGGTAAGATATTTCATTACAGAGGAGTACAGAAAATGTATTTCCTGTCATATAATTCAAATAGGTGTTATTCATCGCATCATTCAGAAATATACATTACTACTGAGCCTTAATTTGTTGTAAAAGTCTTTTGAATACGTTAATCAAGCAGAAATCTAGATAATTTGAATGATAATTTTGAAATAGAATAGTATTAAGTAGAAGACTGTATTATTGTGATATAAAATCATTGAATCTGTTGAACACATTGAAGTATATTTGATTATTTGTCAATATTATAGACTTTTATTGTCTTCAACTTCATGATAGTCTTATCATGGGCTTTAATTATCAACCAATTCGATACTGAATCGAAAAATTTCACATTGAATACTTTCGTTTAACTTTTACATCTCTTATTTAGAAATAATCAAAGGGATCTCTAATGCACAATCTAATACTTCGGTTCTCTGGACTTAAGATTAAATATATTTTAAAATTCTTTAAAACAGAATCACTGTAAAGGATTTTTTTTAAACTAGAAGATATACAATGAGAATTTGAGTTAATTATCTGAGTTTTATTTTATTGAAATAATTGATTTATTGCATGACTTCCAATTGTGTCTATTGTTTTTGAGCCTTTTTCGTGTGTAACGCTTAGTTTTTCGAACTCAATAAACCATAAGTATTTGTCAACCTATTGTTTCATCTTTCGATATCAATTTAAATGGATGAATTTTATTTCACCAATACACTTCTCGTGAACAATCATCATACAATCATTTTGTCAATAAATTAGACCAGTTAATTATTAATTGCTTATTTCCCAATAAAATTTATATTAATTTTAGTTTTATTGTTATAATAAAGGGTTTTGTGATTTCTTAAAAACATCCCAAAAGAAACTTTCCTATTTCGATTCCATACGATCAAATTGAATTTTGAATGGTAACACAATAAAGCAGCTTACCAATATCAGCATGTGTTCATTATCATTTGGAGATGTAGCTGAAGAGTTGACGTTTAAGAGATGATCCGTTTAACGTTTGGAATAACCATTTAGGTAGTATGAGGACTGAACGTAAAGTGATTTATATTGTGAGGCTACTAACCTTCATCGACTACAAAGCTCGCACTGTCTAGCATTTTAAGTTACAGTTTGAAATGATGCGATATATATACATTAGAGTTGAAGTGAGAAGTTGAGAGATGTGTAAAAGGCTTAATATTGGTGATGAAGACAAAGGAGGAGACGGAGTTGAGGTTATGTTTGATTGGGTTTTGTATACAATTGGAAGCATATGCGTGGGTGGTTGACATTTCTTGGTCAAGGTTGCAGCTGTCGACCGGCCTGAAGTCTCTGGTGCTTCTTGATTATGTTGTATTCCTACGCAAAGAAAATGACAGTAACAACGAACCAATGATGAGTAACCTTAAATTCACCACTTTTTGTTCTCGCTCTTTGAAGTTCTCACGAGGCCAACAACTCCTTTTAGGTCTTGTAAATTATTCACATATTCTGTAAAAATAAGCGATTATTCACTATGGGTTAGTGGAGTGCAATTGTCTTCTCTTTGAGTCAGTTGATGTGACTTCCGTATTAGTAGGTTCAAATTGAACCACAGAAAACCGTCTCAATAGCAGTAGTTGGGACCGACTGAAGTCGATATCAGTAACAGCTAACACAACATTAGGTTAATACCTTTGCAGACCACATTATTCTGGTTAAGTAAAGTCGATGGTTGTAAACTCATGATTAATAACATAAACCCAGATGTGAGAACAAAATAGCTTCTTCACGACCGTAGGAATATTATAGCCAAAAATTTCCATCTACTTTCCTTTTTATCTCAAAGCTTTCCATAACAACTAGTAGTGGTATTTTGGCTTCACTCCCTTTGTCAATTTTTACTGCTCTTTGGTCAGTTGCTGAAGAATCGCATCTGGTCCACAGTTCAGTATGTAAACTTATCCTTGGGTTGGTTAGTGATATAACTTCATATTACATCACAGATTTATACATTTGTTTTATTTGATACTTTTTCAGTAGTTGTGAAAAAATCACGAATAATCACACAGAAGCGGATGATAGTTAGGTACTTACATCGTATTTGAATGAATGAAACAATTTGATTTGATTCTCAAAGCCATCCATTTTCGGGCACCTACTTCTGCAAGAAATGTTTTCAGAAATGTGGAGTGTTAGAAGCGAAAACTCAGTTTAAGGAAATAGTTAAATGCACTGATCGCTTCACCTACTTGGAGATTCACATCGGTCAAACGAGGTAGTTTCTGATGAAATCTCACCTCTGATATAAAAGCTCCGTTCACCACTTACCAACTAATGCAATTGCCAGCACCAGCGACACTTCCGACTACTTGTTAAAGACGGAGTATCCTGTGCTACAGCCCCTCCTGTCCTGTGATGCAACTGTGCCACGTAGTCACTCAAAGTAGATGTGAACAGATTAAAGCTTTTTGACCACAAGAGTCTTCGTGGCATTCGCTGGAATCACCGTGTGAGCACTGTCAAGGAGGGGCGATAAGTACTAGACAGGGAAGGAATGTCAGTTGATATGTTTATCAACTTTCACTAACTGAGTTAACTAAAAATATGCTGTGCACGCTTAGCCATCGCCTATCCCAACGTGCAATGTTAATCACAATAGACTTGAGTTGGAGGAAGGCTTGGAGCCGTCAGACCAAGACAGGGCATCAGTCTCTAAAGTATTTCACTGCTGGTCTGAACTGTGTAAGGAGATGAGAACTACATAATAGGAACCAATGGCTGGATACTCTTTGTGATATAGTTGAAAGTCGGTAACAACAGCGTAGGTGTATTCTATTCTCGGAAGAGTTTTACCAGTGGAGAAACTACTGGGGTTTTACTTCCGGCTGGTATCGTCTTAGGGTCTTCACGAACCCACAAGAGGGGGAGTGATCTGTAGCGTCACACACTTCCCCAAAATCAATAGCCTAGTGTTTGACGAGATTCAACATTGATGCTGACCTTGATAGTTTAACTGGACTCGCTAACCTGAAGGCACCCGGTCAAGCATCCTCGCCATCTGGCATGCTGTCGTGTTACGTTGCACTGCTCGTATTCAACTCTCTAGCCAATTAGTTGGAACGCATCGGTATCTTGGCACAACCACCGGAATATACTATTCCATCCGACTACGTTATTGTGCTCTTTCTTGGTCTCGTATTCGTGGGTATATAACAAGTTCGAATAATAAGTGGTTGGTCTCTGCGTCTGTCAAGTTAGCCCCAGAACAATACCTAAACTTTAATATCCCTTTTCCGATCCACTTCTTCCTTTCATTCTGTTGTGAAGTATGTCAAATTAGACCAATCTACTTCTATCAAAGGTTCTACTTTGATTTGCCTTCGTGTTTGTCTGTTATTCCTATCTTTGGATTTTAAAACACTCATCATCGACCGGTAAATTTACATGGCTTACTTTTCATATGTTTATTAGGCTATTTCTATTAGAAGAGAATCAGAAAAGGATCTGTTTGAGAACCACATTGTTCGCCTATATATCTTCTTATTGTAATCGTAGCTGTTATGTAATGTGCGAATTCTATCCTATTCATGTCTAGGTTAACTGCACACCAGATTGGTGGTCTAAATGACTGATTTTTTTCAAGAATTATGTAGAACTGAGTTACTATGATCGATCAGTGACTATTTACAGCTCAAAATAAAAAAAATCAAAAGGTCGAACTGCAGGCCAGCTACCAACAGCATCTAACACTATCCGGAATCAGACAAGAAGAAAGAAAACGGGCCTCACTGAATTAGGAAAGTCAAGTATATTCAAAGCTATGGTCAACGTAATATAGTTGTCCCTTGACGATCAAATAACAACTAACTGGTAGCAAGTAATATGAAGGCTAGTAGGCAGCTGCTGGCAAACTTCTTCTCTGACACCTGTTTGATGTGTTGTCCTAGGTTTATTATTTGAATAGTATCCTTTGTGTTTAAGTGACAGTTTAGTTGATTACAATGTACGCACAATCCAATCAGTTCTTTAGGCACTCAGTATTCTGATGTTCATCCAACTTAAAACATCAAGAAAGCAACCAATAAAATGTAATTTAATAATATGACTCCACTCAGTGAATGTTTATGTACTAGGCTATTCACCACAATTACTTTATGTAATAATGTAATACACTCATCAATAGCTGTCTACGCTGGCTCGATACTGAAGATCAAATGGCCAGAATAATAAGAATGAGCAACGAGGAACTCTAGCTGGCTGGCGACGAACCAACCAAGAACCCATCGTCCAACAAATGTGCAGAAGGAAGTGGAGATGAATCGGGCATACACTGAGAAGACCATTCAGAGACATCACACTCCAGGTCCTCGAGTGGAACCCAAATAACGAGTTGGGCGTCCGAGGGTGACATGGAGGAGATCATGTGAGGAAGAAATGAAAGCTTCTGGGCAGACGTGGAGCCAGGTTGAAAAGACTGCGGAGAGGAGAGTGAAACGCAGACGTGCTACTAAAGCCTTATGTCCCAATAGGAACCCAAGGGACAAATAATAATAATAATGACGGTAATAATAATAATGTAATGTTTTCGATATGACATATCAAATTTGCTTACTGCATATAGCGATCAGCGACACATTATCACTCACGGAGTGACATTTTGAAGAAGCTTTATTGCTCAAAACTATGTCGGAATCTCAGTCCAGTCCTCCCAGGTTTCCAAATGGTGCCAGACCATTATGAATACACCTCACAGTTTTCTTCAATGTGCTGCACAAATTAACCCTTACGGTCAGTTTTGAGTTCAGTAAGAACATAACAGTTACTGTGATGTACACAGTGACACCTACAGCGTCGCAATGAAGCCTTTTAAGTCCTCTCTTCGTGCTAATTTCTCCACCATTAAGTTCTCTCAGATTCGGAATAAACTGCCTATTGAAGTTAGGGCCTCCAAATCAAATAGATTAATAGGTAAATTCTTATCCTCTAATAGCTTCACCAGATTATAGGGTGCATCACCGTTATCCTCTATGACGCCTTCTTTATTTCTAATGAGCCATCGACCACATCTGGATTAGATGAGTGATTGTCTCAATATCACGTACGTTAAGGAGACTTTACCATAAATTCTCACTTCAAACTAACGGCACATTCCACTCTGCCTGACATAGTTAACATAAGTAAAGGTCCGAAACCATATGAAAGCATGAAATTTATGTTCTTAAGTGTTTCATAGAAAAAGCATGTACAACTAACATCATATCAAAGAAAGTTAATCGAGGAGAAACATTTACAGAGGAAACAAACTCCTTGTTGTGATTCTTTTCTCTGCCTGATGCTTTGTTTCTTTTTCTTACAGCAAAAAACACTTGGTTGCAATCAAAAATAAATTATTAAAGAAATGAAACTTGGATAAAACTACCCTCCATTGATCGAATTGTAAGTGCGTTCTCGATAGCTAACTACAATATACGGAAACAAAGAATGTTCATTGTATTAAAACTTTACAGTTATCAAAATCTTGGATTTATTGATTGTGAAGGTGACCAGAAAAGTCTAACACTTACCAACCACAAAGTTGTCATGAAGTGGGAAAATGGTAGACAATGTGTCCTGAAAGACTACCTGGTGCATTCAAACAAAACCATTTCTTTTAGATGATGGAGTTGAAAAATGTAGATATGTAACTCTCAATCATAGTATTCAGCAAGATTATGAAACTTTGATGTGAACCGGTACAAGCATCAACTGTTCTGGAATTGATAGAGTACAATAAATAAACAACTTTCATGAACTTCATGAACTTTTTTATCATTATCTTAAGGAAAACGTATATGGTGTAACAATGGAAGTATTGGCTTCAAGCTTTATTTTCCTCCAAGCAATACATGTATTGTTCCAGTACAAACTCTGTATTTTTTAATGCGAAGACAATACTCTCACCTGTCGACCTTGTAAATTTTTGCTGGG